ATGTGGCAATTTGACATCTTACACAGCTTTACACTCCACCCGATATGTCAAATTAAATTATTATTTTATTACATTTTAGTGTTGATTTATTTTTAATTAAAAAAATAGAAAAGAAAAAATAATAAAATATTCATTTGACATCTTGCTTTTGGGATGTCAAAAATAACATCTCAATCTTCAGCCTTCATTCCACATCAGCTTTGACACATCGGTTGGAGTGTGTGAGATGTTATTTCTAGCTGTTAAATGTTTATGTGGCACTTTTGACATATCGGTTGGAGATGCTCTTAGGAGTAATATGTGCCACAAACATCCCAAAAGCCTACGACAAAGCTAAAAAATAATAAAATATTCATTTGACATCTTGCTTTTGGGATGTCAAAAATAACATCTCAATCTTCAGCATTCATTCCACATTAGCTTTGACACATCGGTTGGAGTGTGTGAGATGTTATTTCTAGCTGTTAAATGTTCATGTGGCACTTTTGACATATCGGTTGGAGATGCTCTTAGGAGTAATATGTGCCACAAACATCCCAAAAGCCTACGACAAAGCCGAGTACCAAGCTCACATAGAACCATAACAGTCCATTATCATTTCCCTCTTCAATATTGTCTTTTGCTTCCTTGGTAGTGGCAGTATCGTCTCCCCGGGCACTTGGGAAGAGGAACCCCACACAATGAGGGATTCCTTTCATAAATGGATGGATCATCGAGTGTCCGAAGTTGGTTGCCCAAAGGAATTCTTCCAACCAACTTGTTCTAAGACAAATTCAGGTGAGACAATGAGGTTGAAGAAGAGAAACCTTGAGCTATCTGTCCCAGAAGATGGTTGTGTGAGAGAATTCCAGCCAACGCAAGTTTCTGATTCTCGAGGGAATGTTTCCGCTTAATTGATTCATTGACAAGTTCAAGGTACCCAATGCAATGAGGCTGCTTATTTCTTCAGGGATTTCACCTTCTAAATTATTTGATGAAAGATCAATGCTCCTTACTGCGAACAAGGTCCAATTATATTCGAGTTCACTTCCTTTTGAAATTACTGTTGTTTGTTGATTATAATCTGGTGAGATGCCTTGGGTATTCACAGATGTTAAAACAGTGATATTATTCAAACACTTGGGAATAGTCCCTGATAAGTTGTTGTGACCAAGATCTAGTATTTGAAGGTTGCGAAGATTGCACACTTGTTGCGGGATATGTCCATTTAAATTGTTGGATCGCAACCTTAGGATATTCAACATGTACACTTTTGATCATATCCACAAAAGTATTGTGACCTCGATGTTATTAGGAGTGGAACTATTTATTATATGAGACTTTCTATTTTGTTAAGTTTCCAATGTGGGACTCGTGTATTCTTCAACACCAACCTCCAAGCATTTGATTGGTATAGTTCATATCGAGATCGCATTGAAAATTAGAAAGAGCTTATTGGTTCATTTGATTGTGGGGTGTGAGGTTGATGAGTTTTTTATTTTTATTTTTTTCTGCTTGGTGTGTATTTAGAGGTAGTTGGGGAAGATAGTGGGGTTTTCTTAGAAATTGTGAAAATTTGAATTAGAAGTTGGGGTGAACTTAGAATATGGGGTGAACAAAGATAAATGTGGAGTTTAAATAGAAAAACTCTAAATATAAAGGCATTTCGTTTTGCAATGGAAAGATAGAAAGTTGATGTTTGGTAGCTTATGGGATGTTATATGCAGATGAGTTGGTGAGCATAGTTGGACGGGCTAAGCGTTTAAATACTAGTGTTTTGGAGTTGTGGATTCTGAATTTTTTTAGTGCAAACATGTCACACCTTATGTACCTTCAAACTTATAATTAATTTTTATATGATATGAATGATTACATATTGTGGAAATTTGTCTTAAATTGAAGCCCATCAGTTTGAGCCTTCTGTTTTTGCAAAGGCCAATGGCACACAGCTTTCGCAAGTGGTTTGAAATCAGCAATACATTACATCCATCTCTTTCTCATTTGAAATGCGCCACAAATTTGTGAAGGAGAGAAAATCTCTTTCTCCCGTTTTGGTTGTGGTGCTGCACCATTTGTTTAAGAGAAACAGAGGTGGCCACACTATTTTGAAGAGAAAACTCGTCTGATCACGGTGTTTTGTTTTCTGTGTAAGAGAGTGAGGTGAGCTGCTACTTTAGAAGAGAATCTTCTCTTTGTCTTAGTGTAGGTTGCTGCAATTTGAGTAAGAAGAGAGATAAGCTATCTTTGGTTCGTTGTACAGCAGCTGCGCATTTGAGATGTTATATGCAGATGAGTTGGTGAGCATAGTTGGACGGGCTAAGCGTTTAAATACTAGTGTTTTGGAGTTGTGGATTCTGAATTTTTTTAGTGCAAACATGTCACACCTTATGTACCTTCAAACTTATAATTAATTTTTATATGATATGAATGATTACATATTGTGGAAATTTGTCTTAAATTGAAGCCCATCAGTTTGAGCCTTCTGTTTTTGCAAAGGCCAATGGCACACAGCTTTCGCAAGTGGTTTGAAATCAGCAATACATTACATCCATCTCTTTCTCATTTGAAATGCGCCACAAATTTGTGAAGGAGAGCAAATCTCTTTCTCCCGTTTTGGTTGTGGTGCTGCACCATTTGTTTAAGAGAAACAGAGGTGGCCACACTATTTTGAAGAGAAAACTCGTCTGATCACGGTGTTTTGTTTTCTGTGTAAGAGAGTGAGGTGAGCTGCTACTTTAGAAGAGAATCTTCTCTTTGTCTTAGTGTAGGTTGCTGCAATTTGAGTAAGAAGAGAGATAAGCTATCTTTGGTTCGTTGTACAGCAGCTGCGCATTTGAGTTAATTCTCCTCTTTGGTCCCTCAGAAACCAGGCCAATGGTTTCCAAATTCCAAGTCCTTAGCACAATTTCTTGACCTTGGTTGCCAAAGCAAGTCCACCATCCCCACACAAGTAGTGGAGCTGAGCACAATAAGTAATATTCATATTGAAATGAATAAATGAACGTTTTCCGAATTCCAAGTCTTCTGCGGCAGAAGACTTGAAGTTCTGCCAATTTTTCAAATTTGCTAGTCCCAATCAGCTAGGTGCCCACGTTGATACATTTTCTTGACTTCCGTAGCCAAAGCAATAATGGTAGTCTACCATTGGTAGGATGTAAATTTTCTTGACTTTGGTAGCAAGAGCAATAATGTAAATTGTTGTAGCTAAAAAGCCTGCAACGTTAAGACAGGCAATGTCTTGTTCTGAGAAATTTTAACAAAACATCTTCTAAGTAAATCAAAACTTTATTAATAATAGCACAACGAGAGCTTACAAAGGCTAACAATTTCTAGGAGAAACCAGGCCAATCCTCAAACAAAGCAAAGAGGCAGGGCCTCTCTTAGGTATCAGAACCAAACAACAAAAGCAAGCAGATGCCCAAATGCAGAGCTTGAAACACCTCAAAACTAGCATTTCCTTTTCCAATCAAAACTTCCTTTGCAAACGAGCCAATTTCAATGCAATTGCTAGTGATACTTTATCTTTGATGTCATCAAAAAATTGAAAATAAGCATACCTCCATGACTTCTTTAGGAGTAATGTGCCACAAACACCCCAAAAGCCTACGACAAAGCCGAGTACCAAGCTCACATAGAACCATAACACTCCATTATCATTTCCCTCTTCAATATTGTCTTTTGCTTCCTTGGTAGTGGAAGTATCATCTCCCGGGCACTTGGGAAGAGGAACCCCACACAATGAGGGATTCCTTTCATAAATGGATGGATCATCGAGTGTCTGAAGTTGGTTGCCCAAAGGAATTCTTCCAACCAACTTGTTATAAGACAAATTCAAGTGAGACAATGAGGTTAAAGAAGAGAAACCTTGAGGTATCTGTCCCGAAAGATGGTTGTGTGAGAGATCAAGTGTTTCCAGCCAACGCAAGTTTCCAATTCTCGAGGGAATGTTTCCACTTAATTGATTCATTGACAAGTTCAAGGTACCCAATGCAATGAGGCTGCTTATTTCTTCAGGGATTTCACCTTCTAAATTATTTGATGAAAGATCAATGCTCCTTACCGCGAACAAGGTCCTATTATATTCAAGTTCACTTCCTTTTGAATTTACTGTTGTTTGTTGATTATAATCTGGTAAGCCGCCTTGGGTATTCACAGATGTTAAAACAGTGATATTATTCAAACACTTGGGAATAGTCCCTGATAAGTTGTTGTGACCAAGATCTAGTATTTGAAGGTTGCGAAGATTGCACACTTGTTGCGGGATATGTCCACTTAAATTGTTGGATCGCAACCTTAGGATAGTCAACATGTACACTTCTGATCCTATCCACAAAGGTATGTTCCCCGAAAATTTGTTGCCACCAAGATCAATAGTTTCCAAATCAGAACAATTTTGTAACGAAAAGGGAATTTTACCGCCAAAATTGTTGTTGTTCAGCTTTAATACTTGAAGAGAACTTAAGACCCCCATTGTACTAGGAATGTTACCAGAGAGATTGTTGTTTGCAACGTCTAGAATCGTTAATTTGTGGCAAACACTCCATGTTTGAGGAAGATCTCCAGATAACTGATTTCTCCTAAGGGAAAGGATTGACAAACTTTTCATGTTGCAAATGCTGGGTGGAATAATACCACTCAAATTATTCTCAGAAAGATGCAGTTTTTGTAATTGGGGAAAATGCTGGTCGAAGTTCGATGGAATTGGCCCAGAAAATAGATTGCTTTCAAGGTCAAGAATGGTGGCATTAGTGGACCAAAGTGGAAGGGGGTCCTCTAATTGATTATGACTCAAATCTACAGATTGTAAATTTGGAAATTTCAGTTGGGATGGAAGCTTTCCAAATATTTGGTTATAAGATAAATCCAAATATTCAACTTGGGAAGATATCTTCAAAAACCAGTCCTCTGGTATGGAATCTGAGATTCCAGCACGGCGAAGTGTGATTGAGGATAGTTCAGATTGAGATTGAAGCCATAAGGGAAATGCAGGACCTACTTGACAGTTGATAATGTTAACTGTGTGAAGTGTGAAAGGAGGAAGCCACTCATCAGCCATGTCGAAAATGAGGGACATAGGTTGGCCTGGCTTTGTGCCTATTGCAACATATTCTAATCGTGTGAGATTTATGAAATGAGCTTCAGTTAAAATACCTTTCCATGAATTCCAAGACAAATCCAGGTGAACTAGCTCAGAGAGTTGTCCCAAACTTTCGGGAATAGAACCGTTCATAAGATTATAGCTGAAGCTTAGTGTTTTCAAGGATGATAAATTTCTAATAAATTCTGGAATTGAGCCTTGAAAATTGTTGAACCCCAGGTTAAGATGCTGCAACTTATGTAACATGACTAAGGAGGCAGGTAATTCGCTCTCAAGTCTATTATAAGACAAATCCAGTGACTCCAATCTATTTTCTGAACAGTTTGAGAAACCATTCAAAAGCTCTTCAATCCCCCCAACAAATTCGTTTTCATTAAGATTTAAGATCTTTAGTCTGCACAAATTTCCAATGAATTCTGGAATTTGACCCTCGAGCTCATCACCAGATAAATCAAGGTATTCTAGATATTTGATGCTTGTAAACTCAGAAGGGATGGGACTAGTGACAGAATTATAACTTAGATCTAGTTTCCTGAGGCTAGTAAGATTGAAGAACCAGCTGGGAAATGAAGAACGAATATCGTTTTTTGAGATATCAAGAATCAAAAGTGATGTGAAATTAATTGAACGCAATGAGAGTGGAAGGTTTTCAATTTCACATGAAGATAAGTGTAACTCTAACAATGAAGGCATCATGTTAACAGCATGTAGCCAACTAGCTCCTGTGCTGCCAAGGTTTACTCCGTTGAGATTCAGATATTTTAGGGAAGTTAGATGAGATAGCCAATTCAAGTTTCCGGAAGATATGAAATCATTACTAAGGTCAAGATAGTTCAAGTTGGACAAGTTACCAAGAGAAGAGGAGAGACTGGAAGATACTATCGATGGCGAAATGAAATCACTACTAAGGTCAAGATAGCTCAACTTGGACAAGTTACCAAGAGAAGAGGGAACCTCTCCAGCAAATGATGCAAAGGAGACATTGAGATATTGCAAACTTTTAAGCTGACCAAAAAACTTAGGAATGGGAATGCCATGAAAATTGTTCTTGCTTAGGTCTAGGTAAATTAAGTGTTTCAAGCTAAGCAAAGAAGAATTTATCTTACCCCCCAAACTAGAGTTTGAAGACCGCTCATAAGCCAACTCCTTCCAATCTTCTTCATCAATGGGAGCAATTGACAGCAACCGTGACTTGCCAAAGAAGCCAACTCGTTTCCGGAGGTCCACCTTCGAAACGTGGCCTGTGAGGTTATTGCATAAAATCCCTTTCCATCGGCAGCAATCATGACCAACCCAAGAAGAAAGTGTACCAGAAGGATCGGTAAGATCTTGTTTAAAGCTGAGAAGTGCACGCCTTTCTTTCTCAATGCATTTCAGAATTGGAAGTCCATCACCAAAAGAGAGGTAATAGGAAGAGGCCAAATACAAAAAGAGCAAATAGTGAGCAAAATGAAGGTGAAGGGTAGGGTTAGATTTAGCATTACTATCCATGATCAAACAAAGTTTTCTTAGTTTGCTGCAGATTGGTACCAAGCACCACAGCACAAATGTATTAATAGGCTTCTAGGAAAGTGTAACAGAACAATCCGAGCTGAAGGCAATGGGGTCCTCAGCCCATTTTTGTTGACTTTGGTTCCCAAAGCAATAATTGAAGGATTATTTAATTGGGCCTCTGAATCCTGTTCAATGGTAATAAACAACGAATGCACATTGTTGAAAATAATGCACACTTATGCCAAAAGAAATATGGAAAAATCTAGAAGCTTAAGCAAAAAGCTAATGTCGGATTGGAGTAGCAAATACCCTAGAACTAGAAAGATATCGACAATTCTAGAAATGAGAAGTCGGCAGCCACATGCAACCTTGGAGAATTATCTAGAGAAAGCCACACATATGTGGCTGGGGTTAATCTTCCTAAGTCGATGCACCAAGGTATGGCGGTGGATCATGTTTATAAATAGACATACATGTGCTCATGTAAGGTGGAGCAGAAAATAGCTATCCAAATCTAAACTAATAAGTTAGCAATCTAAATTAGCCAGTTATTTTGGATGTCATGTGTAAGATTTTTCGGCTCGAGGTTGTGGGTATGTCCTAATGCAACTCTCAACTAAGGGAGGCAAGAGCTACCCAAATTAAACTATGTTGTGGAGCCAATAAGCTCACCAAGGGCCAAATAGTCCAAACTAATCTAAATCAAGTGTGGTTGCCAATTTGGGGGGGGAAAAAAGTGTGGTTGCCAATAAGCCAATAAGTTAGAAAGAAGGGCAATAAGCCTACACCAAGCTGTGTACTATTTTCTTCTAGTGTAATTAAAGCAGAAAATAAAAATGTTTACAGAACATGCAAGCAGAGTCTTTTAGCAGAAGAGTTATTACATATTACAAGATATATATATATAGAAGAAAGCAGCATTAAGCATACAACTAGAAGAAGGAATTCTGCCCCCAAGATTGTTATCGTTCAGCTTTGATACAAGAAGTGAGCTTGGGACTCTGATTGTGTCCAACATCTACAATCAGTATTAAGGGCCACAAACTCCATGTTTGTGGGAATTCTCCATATAACTGATTGTTTCTCAGTGAAAAGATGGACAAACTTTGTATATATGTTACAAATGATGGGGGGAAATTGTACCTTTCAACTGATTATCAGAAAGATACAATCCTTGCAATGTGGGCATCAGTTGGTCGAAAGTTGAGGGGATTGGCCCTGAAAATGAATTGCCTTCAACATCAAGGATGGAGGCATTAGCTGACAAGAGTGGAAGTGGAACTTCAAATTGATTATGACTCAAATCAATGTGATATAAATTTGGACATTTTAACCGGAGTGGAAGCCTCCCGCTAATTTGATTGAAAGACAAATGAGTTGCAAAGATATCTTCAAGAACCACTCTTCTAGAATTGCCTAGGAGAAACCAGGCCGATCGTGAAACAAAGCAAAGAGACAGGGTCTCTTAGGTGCCAGAACCAAACAACAAAAGCAAGCAGAAGCCCAAATGCAGAGCTTCAAACACCTCAAAACTAGCCTTTTCTTTTCCAATCAAAACATCCTTTACAAATGAGCCAATTTCAATGCAATTGTTACTGACTTCTTATCTTTGATGCCATCGAAAAATTGAAAATAGGCACACCTCCATGATTTCTTTAGGATTTATGTTGGCAGGATTCGTGGATTATTTTACTACCTATAGTGTATTACTATGTATTTGTATTCTACAGGTACGTTTGCATGTTTAGGCTTCGTATGAAATTTGTATTTTACATTCTAACGAATTTTTGAAAGGCTTAGAGCTTCATTCTCATATTCCCAAACGGTTTCTTCATCATCATCTCTTCGTATTCCATGCATTGTCATTATTGTATTAATATATAAAATTAAGGGTTTGCTGATTTTGTTTATTAACTTATTATATTATTTATAATTTTACCATGATCAGTAGCTAAAATCAAAAGCACACCAACAGCTTACAACAAACACTAGTTCGATACAACAAAATCAAATGAGGAACAAACTGTCCAACAAGCCCCAAATGCAGAGCCTGCAACACCTCCAAAATAAACAAACCTATCTTTTCTTCTCCAATTATCAAGATTTCCTTTGCAAACGAGCCACTTTCAATGCAATTGCTAATGCCACTTTATCTTTTATACCGTCAAAGAATCGAAAATAGGCATACCTCCATGATTTCTTTAGGACTAATGTTCCACAAACACCCCAGAAGCCAACAATGAAGCCAAGTCCCAAGCTCACGTAGAACCAAACCACTCCTTTATCATCCTCATCATCTTCATTCTTGTCTTCTGGATCCTTATTAGGAGTAATATTGTCATCTCCCGGGCACTTAGTTGAAAGAGGAACCCCACACAATGATGGATTGCCTTTGTAAATGGACGAATTATTCTCGAGCACTTGGAGTTGGCTGCCCGAAGGAATTCTTCCACTCAAATTGTTATAAGATAAATTTAAATGGGACAAGAAGGTTAGAGATGAAATGCTTTGGGGAATTTTTCCTGAAAGGTGGTTGTATGAGAGATCAAGAGTTTCCAGCAAATGTAAGTTCCCAATCTTGGAGGGAATGCTTCCACTTAATTGATTCATCGAAAAGTTTAAAGTACCCAATCCAATGAGGCTGATTATTCCTTCAGGTATTTCACCTTCTAAATTATTTGATGAGAGATCAATGCTATATACCAAATCCAAAGTCTTGTAGTAGTCAAGATCTTGGCCTTTCGACGTCACGGTCGTATGAGCATCATAAATTGCTGACATATTTTTATTATTGGTGAGATCATCATAGAGGAGACATGTCATATTGTTCAAACAGTCTGGAATTGTCCCTGAAAAGTTGTTGCGGCCAAGGTCTAGGATATGAAGGGAGGGAAGATAGCACAACTGACGGGGGATATGTCCACTTAAAGAGTTGGATCGCAATCGTAGCATTGACAACTGAGGCATGTTTGAATCTATCCATGAAGGTACATTTCCAGTGAGTTGGTTGCCTCCAAGATCAATGCCCATCACAAAAGAAGAATTTTTCAAGGAAGAAGGAATTTCGCCCCGAAAATTGTTGTCGTTCATCTTTAATATAAGAAGAGAACTTGGGACACCCATTGAACTGGGGATATTACCAGAAAGACTGTTGTTGGCAACATCCACAACATACATTCTGCTCCACAAACTCCATGCTTGAGGGAATTCTCCATGCAACTGATTGCTCCTCAGGGAAAGGATTGAAAGACCTTCTATGTTGCAAATAGAAAGTGGAATAGTACCATTCAAATGATTCTCTGAAAGATACAATTCTTGCAAGTTGGGAAAAAGCTGGTTAACATTGGAGGGAATTGGCCCAAAAAACAAATTGCTTTCAAGACTAAGCACAGTGGCATTGGTGTACCAAATTGGGAGTGGTCCCTCAAATTGATTATGGCTCAAATCTATGAACTTTAAATTTGGAAATTTCAATTGGGATGGAAGCTTTCCCTTGATTTGGTTGTAAGATAAATCCAAATATATGACATGGGAAGATAGCTTCAAGAACCAGTCCTCTGGAATGGAATCCGAGATTCCAATATTTCGAAGGTAGACGGAAGATACTTCAGTTTGAAATTGAAGCCACAGTGGAAAGCCAGGACCTACTTGACAGTTCTCAATGGAAATTCTATCAAGCTTGAAGGGAGGAATCCAATCATAAGCCACATTAAAACTGAGGGACAGAGGTTGGCCCATGATTACTACAAGGTATACTAATCTTGTGAGATTGATGAAATGGGATTCTGTTAAAATGCCTTGCCATGAATTCCAAGACAGATCTAGGTGAGCTAGCTTAGAGAGTTGTCCCAAACTTTCGGGAATGGACCCATTCATGTAGTTATGATGGAGTTCAAGATACTCTAAATTGTGTAGCATCCCTAAGGTTGCAGGCAATTCTCCTTCCAATCCATTAGAAGATAAATCTAGTGACTCCAATGTGTTGTTGGTACAATTTGTGAAACCTGTCAAAAGATCTCGAATCCCCCCGTCAAATTTGTTGCCGGCAAGACTTAAGATCTTTAGGTTGCACAAATTTCCAACGAATTTAGGGATTTGATCATGGAGGATATTGTAGGATAAATCAAGGTGTTCAAGAGATTTGAGGCTTGCTAATTCATGGGGAAAGGGACCACTGAAAGAATTCACGCTTAGATCAAGATTTCTGAGGCTAGTTAGATTAGAAATCCATTCGGGAAGTGAAGAATTAATTATATTATGTGAGATATCAAGGACTAAAAGTGATGTGAGGTTAATGGTCTGAAGTGAGAATGGAAGGCTTTGAATTCCACATGAACGCAAGTGCAACTCTAATAAGGAAGGAAGCTTGTTAACAACATTCAGCCAACCTATTCCTTGGCTGCCAAGGTCATGACCTCCAAGATTAAGGTACTTTAGGAAAGAGAGATGAGGTAGCCAGCTCAAGTTTTTCAAAGATATTGGTGAAAACATGTTATTCCAACTGAGGTCAAGGTAATTCAAGTTTGACAAGTTACCAAGAAAAGGGGGAATCTCTCCCCCAAATGATGAAGCAGATAGGTTGAGATATTGCAAACTTTTAAGCTGCCCAAAAAACTTTGGAATGTGAATCTCATGAAAATTATTATTGCTTAGGTCAAGGTATTGTAAATGCTTCAAGCTAAGCAATGATGGATTTATCTTACCACCCAAGAAAGACCGTTGATAAGTCACCTCGTCCCATACTTGATCATCATAGGATGGCACATACGGATTCCGAAGGTCCACCTTTGCAACATGACCTGTGCGATTTTCGCATAAAATCCCTCTCCACCGACAGCAATTTTGACCGACCCAAGAAGAAAGCTTGCTTGAAGGATCAGTAAGATCTTGTTTAAAGGTGAGAAGAGCGCGCCTCTCTTCCTCGATGCATGATTTCACACTAGTTTGTAGGTACGAAGATGCCAAGAAGAAAAATAGCAAATAGTGGAGAGCAACATTGAGGTGATATGCAGGGTTGAAGTTACCCATTTTTATGCAAAGCTTTCCTAATTTGTTGCATATGGCTTCTGAGCATAAGTAAATTTATAGGAAGCTATCAATATTGAAAACAAGGATGTCCATATTCAAAGTCCTCAACCCATTTTACAAGTTTGCTTGCTAGATTGGCAAATTAATTATTGGCATAAATAAGACTAAACCCTGCAAAGTCTTGGCATCAAGTCTTTTGATATAGGTGGATTAACAAATCCATTAGTAGGTGACTATTGAGAAGACAAGGGGCCAAGGACTCAATATTAATAAATTTATAAGTCATGTTCAAGGTAATAAAAAATAATTAATCGTGATTGGCATGATCTTGAAAACCTACTTAAAAATGATTGATTTGTAACGGAATGCTACTCTCTGAATTTCCTTCGAATTCTTCTTTGTTTTTGTTTGACAAACCATAGTTAGGGGAGCGGAGTTCGAACCTTGGACCTAGGGTAAAGTATAAACCTAAACTTATAAAGTTTGCAAGTCTACTGATTAAGTACAAAATCCAAGCAGAAAATAAATGTTTACAGAACATGCAAGCAGAGTCTTTTTGCAGATGACTTATTTATTACATATTACAAGATATATAGAAGAAAGCAGCATCACGCATACAACTATATTAATTCATCAAATTTCTCAAGTGTTTAAGCTTCAATGAAATGTTTTTTTCCCAATCAAAATTTGTTTTGCAGACGACTAACTTTCAATGCAATTGCTAACGCTACCTTATCTTTGATGTTATCAAAGAATCGAAAATAGGCATACCTCCATGACTTCTTTATGAGTAATGTGCCACAAACACCCCAGAAGCCTACAATGAAGCCGAGCACGATGCTGACATAGAACCAAAGCATTCCTTCATCACCTTCATCTTTGTTCTCTCCTGCCCCACTAGAAGGAAAAGGTAGTCTATTAGGTGTGTCGTCTCCCGGACACTTGGTTAAAAGAGGAAGGCCACAGAGTGATGGATTGCCCCCATAAATGGATGAGTCATTGAGCGTCTGGAGTTGGTTGCCCAAAGGAATTCTTCCAGTCAAGTTGTTATAAGACAAGTTCACGTGAGACAAGAATGTCAATGAGGAGAAACTCTGAGGAATTTGTCCACAAAGGTGATTGTGTGAGAGGTCAAGAGTTTCCAACCATCGTAAATTTCCAATCTTTGGGGGAATTCTTCCCCTTAATTGATTTCTTGACAAGTTCAAGGTCCCTAATGACATGAGGCTGGTTATTTCTTCAGGGATTTCACCTTCTAAATTATTTGATGAAAGATCAATGCTATATACCCATTCCAAAGCAGTCCTGTAATAAACGAGTTCACTTCCTTTAGACACAACCGAGGTTTGAACATCATAATATGTAGGCATGGTATAATTATTGTATGGAAAAACGGTCAGAGCAGTCAAATTCTTCAAACACTTGGGAATTGTCCCTGAAAAGTTGTTATCACCAAGGTCTAGGATGTGAAGGTAGGGAAGATAGCACAACTGGTGGGGGATATGTCCACTTAACAAGTTGGATCGCAATCGTAGAGTAGTCAACATGGACAAGTTTGATCCAATCCACCGAGGAACACTTCCAGTACATTTGTTGCCTCCAAGATCAATGCTGCACAAAGATGTTGAATTTTTCAAACCGGAAGGAATTTTGCCGCCAAAATTGTTGTTGTTCATCTTCAATATGATAAGAGAACTTGGGACACCCATTGAACTTGGAATATTGCCAGAGAGATTATTGTCTGCCACATCTACTACCCTTATATTGTGCCACAGACTCCATGCTTGAGGGAAGTCTCCACTTAACTGGTTCCTCCTTAGGGAGAGCATTGACAAGTTTTGCATGTTGCAAAGAGAGGCTGGAATAGCACCATTCAAATGATTCTCAGAAAGATACAAAATTTCCAATTTGGGCATCAGTCACAACTGGTGGGGGATATGTCCACTTAACAAGTTGGATCGCAATCGTAGAGTAGACAACATGGACAAGTTTGATCCAATCCACCGAGGAACACTTCCAGTAAATTTGTTGCCTCCAAGATCAATGCTGCACAAAGATGTTGAATTTTTCAAACCGGAAGGAATTTTGCCGCCAAAATTGTTGTTGTTCATCTTCAATATGATAAGAGAACTTGGGACACCCATTGAACTTGGAATATTGCCAGAGAGATTATTGTCTGCCACATCTACTACCCTCATATTGTGCCACAGACTCCATGCTTGAGGGAAGACTCCACTTAACTGGTTCCTCCTTAGGGAGAGCATTGACAAGTTTTGCATGTTGCAAAGAGAGGCTGGAATAGCACCATTCAAATTATTCTCAGAAAGATACAAAATTTCCAATTTGGGCATCAGTTGTCCAAAATCTAAGGGAATAGGCCATGAAAATAAATTGCTTTGAAAATTGAGGATAGAGGCATTAGAAGATAAAAGTGGGAGTGGACCTTCAAAATGATTGTGACTCAAATCTATATGATATAAATTTGGACATTTGAATTGAAATGGAAGCCTTCCATGGATTTGGTTGTAAGATAAATCCATATGTTGGAGTTTGGAAGATAACTTCAAGAACCATTCTTCTGGTATAGAGTCTGAGACTCCAGTGTTGTGAAGGTTGACATCAGACAGTTCGGTCTGTGATTGAAGCCATACAGAAAAGGCAGGACCAACACCACAATTGGTAATGTCAATTGTGTAGAGCTTGAAAGGAGGAACCCATTCATAAGCCACCCTGAAAATTAGTGACATAGTCACATAGGTTGGTCTGTGGACACATCGAGATGTCGCAATCTAGTGAGATTCATCAAATGTGTTTCTGTTACAATGCCTTTCCATGAATTCTGAGACAAACCCAGGTCAACTAGCTCAGAAAGTTGCCCAAAACTTTCAGGAATGGACCCTTTCATGTTGTTACCGCGAAGGTTTAGAGTTTTCAAGGATGACAAGTTTCCAACAGAAGTTGGAATTGATCCCCAAAATGAATTGCCTTCAAGGTGAAGATGCTGCAAGTTTGTTAGCACTCCTAAGGAGGCAGGCAATTGTGTTACAAACTCATTAAAAGACAAATCTAGTGACTCTAGTCTATTATTGGTACAATTTGAGAAACCGCTCAAAAGCTCTTGAATCCCCCCATCTAATGTGTTGTCCTCGAGACTTAAGAACTTTAGATTGCAAAAGTTTCCAATGAGTTTGGGAATTTTGCCTTTCAGATAATTATGAGACAAATCAAGGTGTTCCAAAGATTCGAGGCCTGCGAGTTCGCTTGGAAAATGACCACTGAAAGAAATGCCACTTAGATCAAGTTTTTTGAGGTTGGTAAGATTGAAAAAGCAATTGTGAATCTCTCCATCAGATGATGCAAATGAGATGTTGAGATATCTCAAACTTTGAAGTTGGCAAAGAATGCTAATCCCTTGCAAGTTATTGTCACTCAGGTCTAGGTAGCTTAAATGCTTCAAGCTGAGCAAAGATGAAGTTATCTTACCTCCCAAGCAAGACTCTTCATAAGCTGCCTCGTCCCACTCTTCACCATAATTGTCAGCGTAATCATCAAACAAGCGATCTTCATATGTGTTACGGAGGTCAATCTTTGTAACACGACGGCTGCGGTTGTCGCATGAAACCCCTTTCCAGTGGCAGCAATTGTGGCCAGCCCAAGAGAGCCTACCGGAGGGATCGGTAAGATGTTGTTTGAAGCTAAGAAGTGCTTGCCTCTCTTCCTGGATGCATCCATCAACCAAACGAAGCTTAGTAAGGTGTAGACATGAAGAGGCCAAAGAGAAAAGGAGCAAATAGTGAGCAATATTGAGGAGATAAGTAGGGTTGAATAAGTTAGCATTGCACCTATCGATTACCATTATGCAAAGTTTTCTTAATTTGATGCATAAAATACAAATACAAGTGAATTTATAGGAGGCTAGAAACAACGCGTAATGTTATAATGAGTATTGAAATTGATGGCGTTGGAATTCAAAGCCCTCTCATGTGCGTTGACTTTTGCTGACCATTTTGCAAAAGTTAGTGGTGGAATTTATGCACACCCACTACCACTAATATTTCATTGAATTTTACCCATTAGTAAGATTAGCCTCTTTCTCTATTTGGACACACAACATTGACACACTTAGTGACACCCGCTGATGTGTCAATGTATCATTTGCTCTTGTTTTCTCCTCGTTTTCTGTTCAGCGAATAATACATTGATACATTAGCGGGTGTCAACTAAGTGTGTCAATGTTGTGTGTCCAAATAGTATTACTCATTATATAATGAGGCGTTAAGCCCTTTGATAATGATCTATCTTTTAATTATTGGATCAGATTGATTAGTCGTTAGTTAATTTGATCCAACAGTTTTATTTACAAGGCCATGTAGTTGGTTAGCTATTTGTGAGCCCAAACCCAATTAAAAGAAAGAAAAGTCGATCAATATTTCTTTTTTTTTTTTAAATGGAAAAGTGAAACAGCTTTTGTCATTGATGGGATGAAAACTGCATATGAAGCAGCTTTGTACACGAGATTAGCATGAAAAATAGCAAAAAGATTTACGGCAAAATTAATCAACGACAGAAACCCAACAAATTTAAAATTAATTAATTAAAAAAACAACAACATTGAAAAGAAAAAGAAAAGAAAATTCTAGTTATTTTTTATCAAAGGCAAGCAGAGTTGGGGGCCCACAGACCAAGTCATGAGGCTCTTTAAAGTCGTCTGTACTGTACACCTCTCAGTCCGTGACCCAACAAAATGCTTCAAATTCCGAAAAAAAAAACCCCCACCACTACCCTTGAGCCCAAGAACAACAACATATCTCATATCAGCTACTTTGCCGCTGCTCCTCAAAACGACAGATCGTCTTCATCAAAACGACAGCAAAGACATGGTGTGTCCTACAAAGCAAGGGCAGGTGGACTATCAAAAGGGTCCCACTGACTTTGGATGGAGAGGGCTCTCTCTCTCTCTCACTCTCTCAAATTTTTTTGTTTTTATCATATTTTTTGAATAAGTTTTACATTGTGGGGGAATAAAATACTAGTACTACTCGGAATCGCTGTCCACGCTCTCCATTCCCTTGAGTCCCCTTCGCTTTTGCTGCATATGCAAGCCACCCATAATCAACACAAATTTATTAGTGGACAGCAAAATTATTTAGATAATTAATTCTGTAATAATCTATATGACTCATTCTCCATCATAATTAATTTTGTTTTTCACTTTTCACCATCATAATTATTATTATTCTCCACTTTAAGTACCCAATTATTCCCTCTAAGCAAAAAAGTACTAGGGACAATTCATATTTTTCAGAAAATTTGGCACCAGAAAGGAAATTTTATTTGGCAAAATTTTCACAGGCAAGAATGAGCAGTGCAGCAAATTACCTTCTTCACACATTTCTTCTCCCTGACCTCATAGCGATTCCTTGTCAAGTCAGACAGCCACATCCCTGGAAAACAATACTGCCAAAACCAAAACCCAACAACCCACAAAAAAATAAATGAATAAAAGTTGTTTCCAGTTAATACCCAGAAATTAAAAATTACATATGAATGCAGATAAAATTGAAGAATAATAATATATTTATTATACCTGGAGGGTTCTGTCAATGTTTTTGGCCCTTTTCTTGGGTCTCTGGGGGAGCTTTGTGCCTTTCATTGCAAGGAAATCATCTTCCTTCTCTTTTCTTGACAGGGCAATATAAATTCTAGGCCACTCAACCACTTCATAGTTGACCTTATCTGCTGCTGCAACTGGTGCGGCACCATTAGCAGTGGCAGCTAATTGGTCCGATTGCAATGAAGCAGAATCAGCATGGTGCAGACGATCAACTTGCACAGAGGGTCCATTTGGCTTGTCATCTTTGGCTGATGACCTGCCTGAGCAAGGAGGCAGCTTTCTGTCATTTTTCTCAGGAGGAGGAGATCTTTTCCCAGCCGTAGATCTAGAAACAGCTCGGCTGTTGCTGCCGCCAGTTGGGTTTCTTGATGGGGACCCATTAACCACAGCAGATCGATCTTCTAAATTCCTGGTCATGGCCAAAGAGGAGGTGCAATAAACGGGTGAGCAGAAGATGGATGAAGGTGGTGTTTGGTATTGGATGCAGGAAAAAATAAAGGTGGGGACTTTGGAGCTTCTACACTTCCAGGAGGGCAGATAGATAAATCAGAGGGAAAGGCAACAGAAAAAGACAGAATTTAATATTCACTTAAATGAAGAAAAGCATATTAACCTTACTATTTATGCATCCTTAATTTACTAAAATACTCTCACTATCTCCAAGAAAATCTAATCTAAATACTACAAATTCCAATAATAAAAAAAAAGAAAAAAAAGAAAAAGGGAAATTGGGGAGATGATTTTCAAAGAGATGAGATTGTGTTTTTCTGTCTTTTGAAGAAGAGGACAAAAGGGTAGCAAGGGGGATTTATGAACAATATTATTCTAACCTACTGCCTAAAAGTGCAAAACAAAGCAAAACCCACAGGAAGCAAGACAGAGCATTTGAACTTAAAACTCTTGGTCTTTTGACACCCACAATATGAGACCAAGAGAGATAAAGCTGAGACTGAGACTCATGAGAGAGAGAGAGAGAGATGATTAATGAAATTGCATGCTATATCAAGGGGTAAAAAGGTAAACTAGATGAAAATTATATAAAAAAAAGTGATCTTTCAACTTGGATTGAACAGCAGCAAGCAGCTAAACAAGAACATGGGTTTGTTGTACCAAAAAGAACATGGCTTTTTGGAAATTAGATCTTGATCCAAAGATTCAACAGTTTCCCACACATAACAAAACAAAACCTCAGCCTTCAGACCTAAATTGGAAAAAAATCCACAATAAATTCATAACATATATTGGGAAAATAGGGCATGGGGAGACTCAGAGAATGAAGCCAGATTCAACCAATCGTACTAAAGACGATGACCCAAAAAGTAAAGACCACCGTAATTGGAGGAAAAGGACTTTAAATATTTTGAAAAAAAACCCAATCTACCAATTGATCTTTTGGCAAAAAAAAAAAAAATCTAACCAATTGATCTTCAGCAATAAAATTACAATATTCCGTAGGAAAAAAATAAAATAAAAACAAAATAATTAAAGAGGTTGGGATGTAGGTATATGGTACCTGCTAGGAAGCAACGCGGAGGCTTCCTTTCTAAGTCTGCCATTGGAAAACGACGACGTTGCGGAGGAGGAAGAAAGGGGTGGAGGAGGAGGCGGCGGCGGCATAGACTTGTCTCTTCTCTGCAGCTTCACACCAGCTTGCCTTGCTTGAGCTGAGGAAGAAGACTCATCGGTCACTGCTCGGATCTCAGTTCTCGAGACTCTCGACCGCTTCTTGTGGCCCCACTGCAATAACACATCGCCGGCGCCGCGGCTGGGGCTTGGGGTCCGGCTGGGGCTCTTGTCCTGCCTCTGGGTCGGGCTCCGGTGGTGGTTGTCGGAGTTGGGTGAAGTGGGTCGGGCTCCGAATTGGGATTGGTTCGGGTCTTGGGTTGTGGGCTGGGATCGGAATCTGAATGGTTTTGTGGGTTCTAAAGTTGAAACTGTGCTGGTTGTGAGAGTCTCTGTCAACCCATCTTCTTTGGATATGGCTCTCATGGCTGGCTTCTTGCCATTGCTCAAAGGGACACAATCTGGGCTCACTCTCTGGTACCTGTAAAACACAAAACAACAGCAACCCATTAGCGAAATCCAAATGCAAATCTATTTATGCAGCCGAATTCATAACATCGAACAGCAATTCAATGTCAATTGGTAGTCATTACATGAACTATTCATAACCCAGTACCCCAAATTTCTATCAAATAGCTCTTTGAAATGTTAATTTTCTATCACCAAACCAGGAAATGGCTTGGATGGTTATGTTACTGAAACAGAGGACGTAGCTCGAGATCTTAGATGAAATTTTTGAAGATGAGCAAGGAAGTTAACAGGGAATTATCTAATCTCATTCACAGTAGAGAATCGGAACTGGTCAACAAAGAGCTGGTTTGAATGTTGCGAAGGAGAGACCTTTTTTCTGCTGCTAACAGCGAAGAGCTGAATCTGAGGAATCCAAACAGGGAGCTCTGTTTCTATGGCAACTGAGGCATTTCTGCTTCGCCAACCAAATCCGATTGGAAACAGAGGCTGATTTCATAAACCCAAGTAGAAAAATCGAAGAGAGAAGAAGATCTCATCCAGTAAACGATCGATTATTCAAAAGATAGATAACAAAATTAAGCTTACGAAAACAAGAAGAAATGATGAAATCCGATCCCCAGGAATCGACCAACCAACAAACCAATCAATGGGTCAGGGTAATTTGTCGAGAATCACACAGACGACAGACCACTCACCCATCAAACAAAACAAAAACCAAGAAAACGAAAAGGAGCAACAGGCAGACCTCATCATCATCCGCTGAAAAATCCCACCAGTCAGGCTCACAAGTCACAACATTAACATCATCTCCGTGTGTAAATGAAATGAAGAATCTCTAAGTCAAATTATTATCAGAAAAGAATGGGTTTTGTTTGTCAGGTTGTTCATCAACAATGACACGAAAAACGAAGCAGAAGCTGAGGAGCTAGAGAGAGAGAGAGAGAGAGGGCGGAGGAAGACAAGTCTAAAGTCTGTTGAAAGGATCAGACAGGAAGACAGAGAGGAGAGCTGTGATGCAGGGAAAACAGGCAGAACCGAAGTGGGCGATAACATAAATTTATATAGGGGGACTAGTTAAGCTGCTGGCTGGGGGAGGAGGCTAACAAGAGCACTTGCACTTATACCAGTAGTTACTAGTAGCGTAGCGCTAGCCATTGGGGAAGCCTCGGACTTGGTCACTTGAGACTCAGGGCTCAGGGCTCAAGGTTCAGGGCTTCCAAAGTTTTTTGGTTTTGGGCTTCTCAGTTTTTCATTTTTGGTTTGAGGCTTCTCAGTTTTCACCCAACCCAATTGGATCTTAGTAGGGCACTCATTTTTCACACCCAAATTCAAGTTTTAGAGGCTTTCTATAGTAAAGATGTAAGTTTTTTTCATTTTTTTTCTTTTGACTTTTAACAAATATTTTAAACTACTCTAATATACAAAGAGGGGTTTCGAACTCGGCTGCAATGAGGTGGGCATACTATCTTGGTCAACTGTCCTAACTTACATTTGCGATATTTTTATCTTCGTTGGCCTCCATTTTTTTTTTTTTAAATTAAGATTTAAAGTGCTTTACTTCTCAATTCCCTGTGAGAGGCTTTTTTAAAAAATTTTAAATTTTATTTTAGAATTAAAAAAAATAATGGGTAGTTGTGTTCCATAAAAATAGGATCCATTATCTGATTTTCTTTTAATTTTAATTTTTTTTAATATGAAAAGGTATGAATTTACCATATTATCCTCATTTAATTAATAATTTCAATTTTTAATATTTGCATTAACCAAGGGCATTTTTTGGTATTTTGAATGTTTCATTATTCTCTGCCTTTTGCTTTATATATATAGATGTAGTAACCTTGCGAAGGGGGTAGGTTTTGTCACTATAGGAGGCCCATTTAATTTTATAAAATGTAGTAACCTTGCAAAGGGGGTAGATTTGTCACTATAGGAGGCCCTTTTAATTTTATAATATGTAGTAACCTTGCAAAGGGATTTCAACCAAAAACAAAAACTTCCAAAGGGGGTAGATTTGTCACTATAGGAGGCCCTTTTAATTTCATTAAAACTTTGATCTGAAGAGCCGTTTTTAATAGACTGGTCAAGAACAGTTATACAATACAAAATGTTGTGTCCACCACCACCATCTGTAATGTGCTCATTACTATGCTAACCATCTTTAATCGCCAAAGTCTTTTCTTTTTTTCTTTTTCTTTTTTGTCTTCGTCAAGTCTTTAAAAGAAACACTTGCATAAAATGGAGATAAAATTATTTTGTTATTTTCGACCAATAACTTTAAGAAATGTATGATAACTTTTTAACATAACATTGCATTATTGACCGGAGATAGAAAAATAGTTATATGACCCCATTGCAACCTAATTTTTCTGAGCCTAGAGATCTTATCAATGGAAATAACTGCCAAGAAAACCAAGTGTCATGTTTTTTCCGTTCGATATCTTTATAAACTCGTTCACAGAGTGAAAAATATTAGGATCCATATGAGTCTAACATTATAAGTTGGAATCTCAAAGTCCGAAAAGTACATGCAATTCTTCGCTTGGTTGAGACAAAAATATGCACATGGGCGGCAAATAACAAGCATAAGTTATCTTGGGTCACAATCAATCAAGGGGCAGTCTCCTGTTTATTCCAATTTTACAGGGTAAAATAAAACACAGAGCTGGCAGCACAAGCCTGCAGGGCTGTGATTTGAACTCTTCAATGTCTCCTATCGTTATCGAAGTCGAAGATACTTTACGAAGTATGGTTCTCACCTTGGGTTGAAATAGCTATGGCCTTTAAGCATATGGGTAGATGTACTGCATCCCAACTCCAACTTACAGATCAGCGGACCTAGAAATAACACCAGATGAAAGATTTATTTCGAACAGAAGTAGAACAAGAAGTTGATAGGCTTCTTCACATAACAATTTTTTCAGAGTTCATAAAATAGTTTTGTGCAAGATATATGAGCTATATTTATGAGATGTTATATCATCGTAGTAGTACAAACTAAAATCACGTGTAAATCAATGTGCCAAAAAATAGTCTCCAACTTCAAATAAAAAGAAACGTGGTATCACAATGAGAGTGGTGAAAGGGATATCTCTAAGCAAATGGAGCCTTGAAGCAAAACAGAAAGTGAACCAGGAACCAATTCGTCGACCAATAACTTTAAGACATGTATGATAACTTTTTAACATAACATTGCATTATTGATCAGAGATAGCAAAATAGTTATATGACCCCATTGCAACCTAATTTTTCTGAGCCTAGAGATCTTATCAACGGAAATAACTGCCAAGAAAACCAAGTGTCATGTTTTTTCCGTTCGATATCTTTATGAACTCGTTCACAGAGTGAAAAATATTAGGATCCATATGAGTCTAGCATTATAAGTTGGAATCTCAAAGTCCGAAAAGTACATGCAATTCTTCGCTTGGTTGAGACAAAAATATGCACATGGGCGGCAAATAACAAGCATAAGTTATCTTGGGTCACAATCAATCAAGGGGCAGTCTCCTGTTTATTCCAATTTTACAGGGTAAAATAAAACACAGAGCTGGCAGCACAAGCCTGCAGGGCTGTGATTTGAACTCTTCAATGTCTCCTATCGTTATCGAAGTCGAAGATACTTTACGAAGTATGGTTCTCACCTTGGGTTGAAATAGCTATGGCCTTTAAGCATATGGGTAGATGTACTGCATCCCAACTCCAACTTACAGATCAGCGGACCTAGAAATAACACCAGATGAAAGATTTATTTCGAACAGAAGTAGAACAAGAAGTTGATAGGCTTCTTCACATAACAATTTTTTCAGAGTTCATAAAATAGTTTTGTGCAAGATATATGAGCTATATTTATGAGATGTTATATCATCGTAGTAGTACAAACTAAAATCACGTGTAAATCAATGTGCCAAAAAATAGTCTCCAACTTCAAATAAAAAGAAACGTGGTATCACAATGAGAGTGGTGAAAGGGATATCTCTAAGCAAATGGAGCCTTGAAGCAAAACAGAAAGTGAACCAGGAACCAATTCGAATTTGGATCTTGACATGTCTGGTGGGTTTTAACCGTAGGCAGATAATAGACAAGTTTTGGGATTGCTAAATGCATCATGAGAGACGGCTTCAGATCTTCAGTATGATTGGGTAAAACAGCTAAACCTACCATCAATTCATGGAATAAACCAAGGACAGCTCTGGAATGCTTTTGTCTCCAGGAAGGCACAACAGAAATGTTCAGAAATGTAGTTCATTAGCTGTCATATATACCCCAAGCAACAGGATCATGATCTGATCTTTTGGTCTTAAATCATGAGCCTAGTCATGAATCATGATCACATTGATAGCCAGGAACCCAGGATTGACAATAATGTTTGACTCATGGCTATCAGGAATCAATTCTGAAACAAATTAGACATGTTTTGCTCATGGATTGATATTTCCGAGTGTTCCAAATAGACAATAATCAATGCTCAAAACAATCAGACATGTTTTAATGATGGTCTGATGTTTCAAAGTCTTCCAAGTAACCTTCAGAAAACCAACCCATCCCACCAGACACCACCTACGATGTTTTAAGTCTTAACCCTCAAAAGGAACAGGAGGGTCTTAAAAATGACTTTACAAGAAGAACAATGACGTTACTGATGAAAGTTAGATGACTTTGTAATTGACAACATAACATCATAGAGTAGGACAGTTTCTGGATCAACTTTACTTCCTTAAGTTGCAAAACCAACCAGCTTTTTGGTTCTAGGTACAAAAACACATCATTATACAAGCATTTATCTGTCTGTTTCTCCCTTTTCCATTTGTTTCCTATTTCAGCTCATAGATTTAGAATTATCTGCTAAAGTATAGTTGGTCAGCTGGCCTAGCAGTATTCAGCTTCTTCGCCATAGAAAAACAACAATTTAGTTCTAAATTTCACTTTCCAATTGTTAAATATTAAAGCAGCCCATTGGCAATACTTGTTCTCAATTCAACTGCCTAAAAGGTGTAGGACAGGACAAGAATACAGCAAAACTAGAATAATACAAAGATAAATAGACATGTGATCTAACAAGGTTATGGTTGATAACCTGTCCAATTAGATACATAAAATGAATCTGGTCCATCTACCGGAAGAGCCTGGACACTGATCTCTTTGGTACCTTCCCTTCAAGCTTCAATCTTCGATATGCTTCTCTAATGTGGCATGGCCTGATTGGCCCAGATTCTTTCCTCTCTGTCATAACTATTCTGGCTGCAAAAGAACATAGATAGAGGCTCTGGGTAAGACATAAAATGTTGAACCATTAAAGTACCTGTTACACTAAATTTTCTGGACCAAGCAATACACTCCTTTTTTCATTTGTTATATCAGAGTCCAAAGGGTGCAACTCGAATGGGATCACAATGCTAAAGTGACATAAAACTCTAACAATATTAACTCAAAAAATGTCATTTTTCATTTTTATTTAGTGAAATATGAAAATAGATAACATACCTGTTTCAACCAGTTCACCAACAAACATCTTTGCTATCCCTGACACTACAATTGTCATAGGCATAGAAATTTTTGGAGTTCCACTGATGCTACCTAACAACTGCATGCAAATAATGTACTCAAATATTAATGCCAAAGTGACTGCTTTCTACAAGTTTTGATGCAAATATGACAACTCTAGAAAAGTGCATTGCCAACCAAATTCCAATATGCAGCTAATCAGATCCAGAAATGCCTTCTACATGGAGAAATAATTAGGAAGCATACCCTTTTCATGTTGGATTTCTGAAACCCAGCTCTCCTAAATGACTCGTACCTACTCATCTGTTCCTCCGAGAATCGTGATAAGATAGCCCTGAAAGATTATTCAGACCTAGGAGTTTAAAAGGAGAAGTATGATGCAGATTACAACAAGCTCTCAAGGAAGCAAAGCATACAAGTCCTAAAGAAATAGGAATCAAATTTATTTAAAGCCTACTTAGAACACTGCAAAGTACACAATCTAGTCTAATAACCATCCATTCTTTACAAATTCTATTGCTTCAAACTGAGTTTTCATTGGAACCCACTTGGGCCCTTCATAGTCTAGTCTAGTTATCATCCCTTCATTCTTCCCCATGAATTTGTTCTATCAACTTGGAATATTTGTATTCATATGCAGCAAACAAGAGCATTACTGAAATGCAAAATTACAATTACCCAAGCATTTAAAAGACATTTAATTTCTTGAACAAAAGCTGAACCATTAAATGGGTTTAAAGAAAAAGTGAGAAAGGAACATACTGCATCTTGGCCATTTTGTCAGGGTCGCCAGTGGCAGAGAACTTGCCGAGCTCAACATCCATGTTCTCTTCATCTTCGTCGTCGTCATCATCTTTGTTGTGCTTGAATGTGGCCCGAGCAGAGGTAGAGGGCGCTGCTGTAGTAGCAACAGGTGTTGCTCTTGCTGTAGTTACTGCTGTTGTTGGTGGTGGTGGTGGCGGTGCCGCTAATGGCGTGGCTGAGGAAGATGGGTCTTTGGAGCCAGGAGGAAGAAGAAGAGGGTCGTCGTCTTCTTGAGTGTCGAGAGCGGTGCGTGCGGCATCAGGAGCCGCGGGAGAATCTGGCGGCGAGTCTTCTTGCTCCTCAAACGCCGCTTCGAATGGGTCCTTGGATTGCTGCTTCATTCTCTCTCAATTCTCTCTAGTATACTATCTAGATTCTTACCCTTTCATTCTCTCATTCAAAATCAATCTTAAAAAGGTTTCCCCAAAATCAAACTATACAAAAAAAATTCTTTACATCAAGTATCCAATAAGATGGTGCTGCTGCACAAAAAGGACAAAAGGCCATGTTTAGTTCTCCTTGGGTTTGGATCAAACTTGATGTTGTGGGCCGTTTCGGCTTTCCTATTTGGGCTTTTCTTTCTTTTTCTTTTGTTTTTTGGTGAACACTTTTCTTTCTTTCTTTCGTTGAATTGAATGAGTGGTTTTCCAATAAATAAACAAATAGAAGAAAAAAAATTTGATCCCTCAAAATTGTAGAATAGAACTGTTCTTGAAATTCTGAGAAAGTCATCCCAGAAAGACACCAAATTCTCCTTTGTGCTTCAACTGCAGTATCTTTTAAAAAAAGTTTGAGAAGAAATTATATTGTCTAGAGATCTCAATGGCCGGACTTTCAAACTTTCGTTTTTGCTTATTTTGATAAAGGGATATATAATATGTTCATTGAATAAGTAATGATCCGGCGCAGGAATTTTGAAGTGTTAATAACAGTTTCCTTATACAACTTCACTAAATTTTTCAAAAAGTTGGAAGATACAAATAAAAAGTTTTTTTTTCTTTTTCAAACTTTCGTTTTTGCTTATTTTGATCAAGGGATATATAATATGTTCATTGAATAAGTAATGATCCGGCGCAGGAATTTTGAAGTGTTAATAACAGTTTCCTTATACAAAAAAGAAGAATTTTATTGCATAAACATGTTAATCTTGTTACAACCATGTTACAACGATAGCACCTAATATTCCAAAGATGGATATTAATTTGGCTGTACATTGTATAGTGTCATTTTCTAGTGTTGTGTCAATGCTAAGTCAATTTTGGCGAACGAAAACTTTAGTTTAGTAATTTAGGATTAAAGGTGTAATATGTGGAAGAGAAATGGCAGATGTAAACCTAGTTAGGTGTGAGACTACATGCGATGGTGATATCCTCAAAAATATCGACCCATATATTGCCACTAAAGAGGTAGCCCATTGGTTTCTTGGTTAAAGTTAAAGAGATGATATAATATAAAGCCACTTTTATACAGATATGGTGATTCAAAGGCAGATCTGGTGATGCTAATACCATTCATTCATTCATTCATTCATCCATATCCTCTTTTTAAGTTATGTTCTTATTTGTTTGGTTTCTTCCATAATAAAATTGATTGGGTGTCGAACTAAAGAAAATTCATCCAAATAGGGAAAATAAAACAAAATATATGAAACATACAACATAGTGCTGCTTCATTGACACTCCACCAAACCCAAATCGGTTTTTGTTTCTTTCTTGTTATAATGAGTCAAGCAGCCATCAGAATTTGTCATCAACTTCGTGCTCTATTTGCATGTAGTAGACTAGTTCTTTAGTGCCCATCAATCCTCTTCAAACTCAAAACAACCCTAACAACTCTCATGCTCCCTATAATGAGTTTCAAACTTTAACAGTTTAAGTTTTTTTGGGATCAATGATCGTCTAACATGGTATCAGAGCTCTGATTCCATGGGGTTTTAGGTTCAGAAACTCAAACCCTATTTTCGAAAGCGTGTTAGTTAGTGGTTTTATAACGTTTTCAAGGAAATGACTCTCCCATTAGACAAGTGTGAGATAATATATACCAAATTATTGTTCAAACATCTTGGAGAGTCGAATTTTGGTGACTTTAGAGGGTCATTATGAAGTCAAATGATCTAGATAATAATTAATGTGGCTAAAAGGGACCAACTAGCAGGGAAGATTCCGCCGCTGATGATGATGATAATGGACCATTGTTGCATAAACCAGTACATCATCAAAAAACGTGTACAAGCATGGAACAATCACCTTATTACATGAGCTCAGAGATCAGGTCACCATTTTGGGAGGATCAATGAGTGCTTATCTTTTTTCATATTTAAATCAATAAAAAAGAACTATAATAGCATTTCATTTCATTGAAGCAAAGCAATTTTACATGTCATTTTTGACTCTTTTGTGCTCTTTATGGTCCCATGGAGACATTGTCCATTATTATGGTCGCTCAAAACCAAAGCAACCTTATGAAATTTCCTCTGGTGTTCATCCCACTTGAGGCATCAACTTTGTGTATATATATTTCTATGCATAGATCAGCTCTAGAGTCCTTGATTTCAGGTGAAAAAAATGGAACAGTAAAATAAGCTTCCCAATATGCCATAGCCATATTCCAACACAAACCTGGCCTTTATTGCCTTCATAATTATGCTTCCTCCTAGAGAGTCCTATGTCCTCCTAACTCATTGACCAAATAAAAATATGAAAAAGATTCAAACAGGTCCACAGAGAGAGAGAAAGAGAGAGAGAGAGAGAAGACATAGATTATTAAAGTGATGAATCCCAACATCTCCAAAATCAATCCATATGCTTTTTCTTTTTTCACGTTCTGGTCTAAAGTAAAAGGGTAAGGAGGAGGGGGCTCCTCCAGAATAATAATACTGGTACTTATTCCAAACAAAATAACAAAGGAAGATGGTCTAAAAGAACCCAATTAATGTGTCCACTTTAAAAACAAAGAAAAGAATCCTGGAGTATTATCTGCTTCTCCCCCAAGTTGATCATATCATTCTTTGGCTGATACTTAATCATCATTCAACTTAAAAAAGACAGTCTCATAGTCATTAACCTGTTTGCAGCCATCTAAGTACAAATGTGATGCAAGGAGCTTGTAGCTCAAGTGATTAAGAGCATTTATCCCTATATCTAAGGTCCTAGGTTCGATTCCCCTTTCCCCCAATATCGCTTGTATAAAATATTTATAAAAAAAAAAAAAAGTACAAACGTGATCCACGCAACACACACATGAAGCTAAAATTTTATCCAAGCTTTTATTGATAAGCAAGCAACATTTTAGGAACAGTTGGTGTATTTTGAACAAGACAGATTTTCCTGAAGTTACTTTGTACACAACATACACATAAGAGTTAAAGTATCCCATCACATAGAATTCATTGTTTTAATCACAGTAACAAAGTTAGAACAATATCATTGTCTTGTCTTGTTTTGTTTTTGGGATCAAGCCTATATGACATGTTAAATCATAGCTTAAGCATAATATGAACAGGAATGTGTATTATCAGATTAATCAGTTTTATGACCCCTAATCAATTTGGATATGAGTTAGAATGCTGTAGTGATTTCCGGCTTATGATCCCTACTTTAAATTATCAGCTGGGTCATGGACCTCTCTTCAAGTCTTGAATATTCTGACTTCTGTTTTCTTTTTCTCAATCAGATTCAACAATATGCAAAATAAAGCAAGGGCAATTGTGTCATTCAGCTCCAAAGGTAAAGGGATTTTAAATATTGGTTGATCAAACGGTCTGTTGTTATGAATCTTTATATGCAAATGCAAGAGCTGCTTTTGCTTTTCCTTTTTATAAAGTTGGAAGACGAAACCAAATATACTGTGGCAGAGAGAGCTTAAAAAAAATTGCAAGGCAAAGTTCCATATTTATAGCATCCAAGGTCTTTTCCCTCTCCATCTGTCTGGCGTCCACACTGTAAAATTAGAGTGCATATGAATGAAATGGTCGCTACTTTTCTTCAGCTTAACAAAAATAAGGGTTGGTTTCTCTAGAAACTTTCTTCTCTAATCCAAAAACCTTCCCATGGCCAGTTCTGCAATGAAGTTTGTCTTCCTCTCCTCCCTTCTTGTGTTCCTCACTTGTGTTCATTCTGTTTCTTTCCATAATCTGTCTCTCAGAAGGCAGGCTTCAATCCTGGTTTCTGTCAAGCAATCTTTTGAAGCATCAAATCCTTCTCTCAATAGCTGGAATGTATCAAACTACATGTTCCTCTGCTCTTGGGCTGGTATCCACTGTGACAACATGAACATATCAGTTGTTTCATTGGACATATCCAATTACAACCTCTCCGGTTCTCTTTCACCTGCAATCACAGAACTGAGAACCCTTGTCAATCTTTCAGTGTCAGGAAATGGATTCTCAGGCATTTTTCCGCCTGAAATTCACAAGCTAGCCAGGCTCCAATACCTCAACATATCCAACAATGGCTTCAGTGGAAACTTGAGCTGGGAATTTGCTCAGTTGAAGGAGCTCATATTGCTGGATGCTTACAACAATAATTTCAATGGCTCACTGCCATTAGGTGTCACTCAAATTCCCAAGCTAAAGCGCCTAGACTTTGGCGGGAATTTCTTTAGTGGAAATATCCCTCCAAGTTATGGAAATATGGTGCAGCTCAATTATCTTTCAGTTGCAGGAAATGATCTGAGTGGTTTCATACCAAGTGAGCTTGGTAATCTTACTAACCTCAAGCAGCTTTTCTTGGGTTACTACAACGAATTCAAAGGCGGAATCCCACCTGAGATCGGTAAGCTGATCAATCTGTTCCATTTAGACCTTGCAAATTGTGGCTTGGAGGGACCAATCCCTCCAGAGCTGGGAAATCTAAAACAGCTAGACACTTTGTTCCTGCAAACAAATCAGCTCAGTGGTTCCATTCCAGCTCAACTGGGAAACTTGAGTAGCTTGAGGTCTCTTGATCTTTCAAACAATGCATTAACAGGAGATATCCCTGCTGAGTTCTCTGCGCTCCACGAGCTTACCCTCTTGAACCTGTTCATCAACAAGTTTCATGGGGAGATTCCTCATGCCATTGCAGAGCTGCCCAAGTTGGAAGTCTTGAAGCTGTGGCATAACAATTTCACTGGAGCAATTCCTTCAAAGCTTGGCCAGAATGGTAAATTGATTGAGCTTGATCTGTCAAGTAATAAGCTCACTGGGGTGGTCCCAAAATCTCTTTGCTTTGGAAGAAGGCTGAAGATCTTAATTCTGCTCAACAATTTTCTCTTTGGACCTCTACCAGATGATCTTGGTAAATGTGACACTCTCGTAAGAGTGCGAATGGGGCAGAACTATCTGACCGGATCAATACCACAGGGGTTTCTTTACTTGCCAGAGCTCTCACTTGTAGAGCTACAGAACAATTATCTTACTGGACAGCTACTGGAGGAAGCAAGCAAGGTACCCTCCAAACTTAGCCAGCTAAATCTGTCAAGCAATCGCTTATCGGGGCCACTTCCTACTTCTATTGGAAATTTCTCTAGCTTGCAGAATCTTCTATTAAGTGGAAACCAGTTTACCGGAGAAATTCCATCTGACATAGGCCGGTTGGTAAATGTTCTCAAGTTGGATTGTAGCAGAAACAATTTTTCTGGCAGAATCCCTCCGGAAGTTGGAAATTGTCTCTCACTGACTTATTTAGATTTGAGCCAAAACCAACTCACGGGTCCAATCCCAGTTCAAATTGTTCAAATTCACATATTGAATTACTTCAACGTCTCTTGGAACCACTTAAACCAGAGCCTGCCAAAGGAACTTGGGTCCATGAAGAGCCTAACCTCTGCTGATTTTTCCCACAATAGCTTCTCTGGTTCAATACCACAAACAGGACAATACTTATTCTTTAACTCCACCTCCTTTGTAGGCAACCCTGAGCTCTGTGACTCTTCTGAAAAGCCATGCAACTACTCTTCAAGCTCACCATCAGAGGATCACAATCAAAATGGCACCAGGTCTCAAGTCCTCGGGAAGTTCAAGCTTGTCTTTGCTCTAGGACTCTTGCTATGTTCATTTGTGTTTGCAACCCTTGCAATCATAAAGACCAGAAAGGTGAGGAAAAAATCGAACTCATGGAAGCTCACAGCATTCCAAAAGCTAGAATTTGGAAGTGAAGACATTTTAGAGTGCATAAAGGAAAACAATGTTATAGGGAGAGGTGGAGCTGGGATTGTCTATAGAGGAACAATGTCCAGTGGAGAGCAAGTAGCTGTGAAGAAGCTTTTGGGCATTAACAAAGGCTCTTCTCATGATAATGGTCTCTCTGCAGAAATTCAGACACTTGGTAAAATCCGACACCGAAACATTGTCAGATTGCTAGCATTTTGTTCAAATAAGGAGACCAATCTGCTTGTCTATGAGTACATGCCAAATGGAAGTTTAGGTGAAGTTTTGCATGGGAAAAGAGGAGGATATCTTAAGTGGGAGACTAGGGTGAACATAGCCATAGAAGCAGCAAAAGGCCTTTGTTACTTGCACCATGATTGTTCCCCTCTGATTCTTCACAGGGATGTTAAGTCCAACAACATTCTGCTAAACTCAGATTTTGAGGCTCATGTAGCAGATTTTGGGCTTGCCAAGTTCTTGCAAGACACTGGAACATCAGAATGCATGTCTGCAATTGCTGGCTCATATGGCTATATTGCTCCAGGTACTTCTTTTACCACATAGATACTATACTAATTTGAAACATTTATTAAGTGTAATTTACTTAATTGAATTGAATAGGGGGACAATAGGCTAAGTAGGGCCATTTAGCTCAAAAGACCTACTTGATGCAGCACTTAGATAAAGTAATTAAGTATATTCCATATGTCTCCTCTGACTTAGTGAAATAAGTCAGCCACCTTCAATAATACCAGGTTGCATGATTAGTTCAAAATTTTGATTTGTTTTGTTCAACTTGGTATTCAAACAGAGAACAGATTAATAGAAAATACTTGTTCTTTTGCATCTGCATAAATTCTGGCATATACATTACTTTGGACCAAAGAAGTAACCAGTGGTTCCATATGGATTCCCAAAAGGGAAAAGGCTCCACTGACATAGGAATTTCTCCTTTTGCTTTTTATATTGCTCTACACACAGTAATGGGGCATGAGCTTTTGCATGTCTTGAAACCATAAATAAATAAAAACCATGTTGGTTCAGCCCAATCACAAACCAACCTTTTTGACCAAAACCCATTGAATCCAAAATCATAGCAATAACAAAATCCACATAACTCCAGAGCTTAGCATATACCCATTAAGAATCTTGATTGGGATCTAGGCTTTACTTTCCCTAAACCCTAGAAAGGGAGAGACATCTGTAAAGAATAAGGCATAAACCCCAATTACCTTTTCCTTTTACACACACAGGCTATTGCTTTAGCCTTTACTGTGCTGTGGGAGGGGTAAAAAAAATAAATTAGAACAGTGGACATGTCATGTAGTTTCACTCAAATCTAACAAATCAATTTCAATTTTCTCACCCCTTTATTTTATACCATGGAAGTTTTCAATGAGCTAAATATTTTACTTTACCTCATGGAACAGAGTATGCCTACACATTGAGAGTTGATGAGAAAAGTGATGTGTATAGCTTTGGGGTGGTGCTATTGGAGCTCATTACAGGAAGAAGGCCAGTTGGTGGTTTTGGAGAAGAGGGTCTTGACATTGTTCAGTGGACCAAAATACAGACCAACTTACTCAAAGAAGGGGTGATAAAGATCCTAGATAAACGGCTAGACAGTGTTCCGTTGGATGAAGCAATGCAGGTGTTTTTTGTAGCAGTTTTATGTGTTCAAGAGCAGAGCGTGGAGAGACCAACCATGAGAGAAGTTGTTCAAATGCTTGCACAGGCAAAACAACCAAACACATTTCACATGCAATGAAGAATGGCTTCATGGAGCAACATTTTGGTGACCCAGAAACCAAAAAAAGAGAAAAGAAAAGTCATGGACATGTATAATAACAGATGATTTTTGGATCAAGTTGCGAGAATGGTTGATTAATGGTATAGTAGCAGCTAGCTGGGGCCATAGTATATAACAAGATTTTATGCTTCTTTTTTGAATTATTTTTGGGGTCTCTTTTATGCTTGGTTAAGATAGCATCTTTGCTCTACTGTTGGTGTATTTGTTAGCTTGAAGCTTAGCTTTGTTCTGGTCATCAGTGGCATGCAAAAGTGAAGTGGTGAAGCGCACTGTAAAAGCGATATTGGTAATGGTTCGTTTGTATTATTGTGTCATCATCATAAACTTATGACCAAATGATGTGAGGTTTCCTTTTCTATACTGTTTAGATTTTGTACTTATTGGTTTGTACTCTTGTGATTTGCTAAATTTTACAAGGTTAAATTGAGGAACACACTATGTGGGGCAGGAAGCCTGCCATTTACAAACCAATGCATTTCAGAGTCTGATCAGTCTGTTCTTCTTCTTAGAGTTTGTTGTAACCTGTAAGGACTCTGCTAAACCCTAAACCCCTTCTTGTTATTACTCTGGTCAATTTCCTTACCAACATGTCACAGTAATAGCAACTTAGGAAGTGAATAGGGGTAACCAAAAAAAAATGAAATCTTTTAGAACAGACCATATCATATATTATTAACTTGCAGACAAAGTTTGTGAAGATCCAAGCTGCAACAACAGTTGTAGGAACCAACAAAAATAACATTCTCAGTACTACTTGTGATTTCTAGGTCTACCGCGATTTAAGCTTCTCCCAAATGATTCTCCTTAATTAACACACCTTAATGACTTTATGTAGGGTTTAAACAAAAGAACCTAGTCACATTAGGAATAGCACCTAAGGAAAAGGAAAAGGAGATTGGGAATTTTAGGAAACAAATTAGGGCAAAATTAATTGATTTTTCCACATATTCAACAGGTCACCATCTTTCTAGTTAGGTTACGCAATTTTGCTATTTTTCATTAAAGAATTCGTATGGTTAAAAGGGAAAAACAAACAAGCAAACAAACGAAAACATAAAGAAACAAAGAAAGCTGCAAACTTGGGTTGAGGGATGCTGATTGAAGCAGAGAGTTCAGGAGTCTCTACCTTGGTCAAAGACGAAGGATTTATGAATGCCCGATTGAAATTGAGGTGGGTTAAGCTGTTGCTCTCTCTTTGACTCAACTTGATCTTCTCGTCTCTTCTTTTTGTGTCTTTGCCAAAGGGTTTATGAATGCTTGCTCGCTTTGAAACCACATTCAGCCCAATCGCCAAAAACCCAAAATCATAACAAAGGAAAATCCATTGAACTCCGGAGAAGAAAAGACAAGAGTCATATGGCCAAACGTTTAGAAAGTGGTGTGCATAGCAACAGAATAGAAGTCTAATTATGTATAGTTTGATATAATGCAGAAAATTAGAAATAGCTCCTTCCATTAAGGAGATTTACAGAGTTGTCAAGGCTGCAGTCATAAGCAAGGACAAAAAGGCATAAGAAGATTCCAATGAAGAATAAATAGGTTCTTCCTTTGTGTGTGTGTGTGTGTTAACAGCACTGTTTTCCTGCAGAAAAGTAGGATTGAATCATATGTACAAATTGATTCACATTTACAAGCCAAGTTTCTTTGGCCTCATATATGCAGAAGAGCCATGGTGCAAACCCGGCATTGACATTCGCTGCTGCTGTTGCTGCTTGGATCTCTTTTCCCTCTCCAGCTTGCTTTCTTTCTCTGCCTCTGCTTGAGCCTTTCTCAAATTCTCCATTTCCTCCTCCATGGCTGTTTTCTCTTCCTTTCGTGTCTTCTTATGCTCCAACATTGACGTATCTGACTCCTTTACATAGAAGAACATGGGTCCCAACTCAGCCAACCATTGTGGCTCCACTGCTGTGGCACACTGCATATACTCTTTTGTTGTCAAAATCAATTCATGATAAACCACATACTCTGGAGTGCATCCCATACCATAAAGAGCACTGCTCGGGTGTAAATGGCATGGCATCCCAGTCCGGCAGTTAACATACTCCACCACACCCTTCAATCTTGCTGCATTTTGAAAGTACGCGGAGCAAATAGCTTTTTTCACAATATCAGTATCAGGCCCACAGGATGAAATTGGGATTTTTAATGTCTTCAGGATCTCTAGCAGCTGGGACCTCACCTCTCTAGCCTTTCTCAACCCTTTAACATGCAAAAAATGGTCATTGCACCAGTCTCCCCGATACCGCTGTTGTTTCCACTGCTTATAAACATTATACAGTGTTAAGTGGTCGGACTCTGGGATGGAGAATTTCTCCCGTACAGCATCGCTCTCCTCTGCCCTATCTTTGGGCCTAAAAAATACTGACGGCACCGACAGCATGGACACAATCGTCAAAACCTCATCTAAGCATTCCAGCTCTTCACCCATCAACAGCATCTTAGCAAGTTGAGGGTCCAATGGTAACTGTACTATTTTCCAGCCCAGATCAGTTAAGCGGCCCTGATTGTTAAGAGCACCCAACACCCACAACTGGTACACAGAATTGAGAATATTATCCTTGGGAGGTGGGTCCATGAAATCAAAATCTAGCAAGTTATCAACCTGAAGAGATTTGAGCAACAAGATCACATACCCAAGGTTGGTCCTCTGAATCTCTGGCACGGGATTAGGCAGCATCTCATTTTGGTACGCATTCTTTGTGTACAGCCGATAACATGTTCCAGGCTCAGTTCTGCCAGCACGCCCAGCACGTTGGTTGGCAGCAGTCTGACTAATAGGAAATACTTGAAGAGCATCCATACACATTTTGGGGTTGTATACTTTCATTTTACAATAGCCCGTGTCAATGACATATAGGATTCCATCTACAGTCAAAGATGTCTCAGCAATGTTGGTTGCTACAATGCATTTACGAACCCCATCTTCAGCTTTTTGGAATATCTTTGCTTGCAAGTCAGCAGGCAACTGTGAATATATAGGGAGTATCAAGAGTTTTGGCACCCGTTTCTTCGAGGTGGAGATAAGTTGTTCCATCCGCTCTGAGAGGGCATAACAAGCTGCCTCAATCTCATCTTGGCCGGTCATGAAGATCAGGATGTCACCGTGAGTGCTGGTGATGTGAATAGTTATGGCCTTCTTCACTGCAGCTTCAACATAATCTTCACATGGGGTTTCATTGTAGTTGATAGTTACAGGAAATGTTCTTCCAGGAATTTCAAAAATCGGTGCACTTCCAAAAAAGGTCTGGAATTTCTGAGCATCTAGTGTCGCAGATGTCACAATGAGCTTAAAATCACGACGTCGGGCAACCACTTTTTTCAAAATCCCAAGAAGCACATCCGTGTTTAGTGACCTTTCATGGGCTTCGTCCATCACAACTACGCGATACTTGTCAAGATCAGAATCTCTAAGTGTTTCACGCATAAGTACTCCATCAGTCATGTACTTAATTATGGTATTCGGTCCAGTCACATCCTCAAAACGAATAGCATAACCGACTTTCTCACCAAGCTCAGTCTCCATCTCTTCACTAACTCTTTTTGCAACACTCATGGCTGCCACACGCCTTGGTTGGGTGCAAGCTACTATACTGTTTACGGTGTATCCATCTTCATGCAGATATTGTGTCAGTTGAGTTGTCTTTCCAGAACCAGTTTCTCCAACAACAACAATAACTTGATTTTCTCGAATTACCTGGAGTAATTCATCCCTCACAGAATATATGGGCAAACACTGCCGTTGCTGTGAAATTGTTTTTGACTTCGCGAATTCACTCACAGCCTCCCCATTCTTCATATGCTGTTTAAACTTTGCATCTTCTTTGAAGTCAATTTCACCATCTGTACTTGTGGCAGCAGTATCTGTGCCAATCTGCTCTGCTGTTTTCTCAACACCAAGGATTTCACCTAGTTTGGAACCTGCAAGCTCCCAAAACCGTTGACGAGATTTGTTCAAATTTTGCTTCGAATGGATTCTTCTAACTAGAGCAGACCCTTTGCGTGAAATTATAGCCATATCAGACGAGGGATCCTTTATTGGCATTACTGGCTCTGCTTGCTTGGTAAAAACAGCACTGTCATTCAGGAAAGGAGGCTTTAAATTTGTATCATGCACAAGAAGAGTAACTTTGTGTTCTTCTTCACCATCAATCTCAGTATGTGCCTTAGTCGCACTAACAGCACCAGATCTCAAAAGTTGATGATCTTCCCACCGAGCATTATCAGCATTGAGCTGAGACATTTTTCTGCTCCGAGCAACGGTCATCTTAGTGCCATCTCTTCGAAGCAATCTTTTTGCCAACTCTGCTTCCTTCTTCTGAAAAGAAGCATCATTTCCATAAAATAAAGATGAGCTATCAGTTGTATCAAACATTGCATTTCCTTCTTCTCTATCATACCATGCAACGTCAGAATTGTAATCCATCTCTTGACGCATGCTTTCACTAATTTCGTATTTGTGTTCTTCATCCAAATCAGTCTTATCACCTTCTCCGTCCTTTAATGACTGTGAATTTTCTGAATAAACAGTAAGTATATGGGAACGTGCACCATGTTTCGAACTTGAAGATTTGATTGAGTATCCAGAAGGAATTTCAACTGGCGAGAAATCCCATGGAGAAGCAGCAGAACCGGCTTGATGGCGCTTACTAGCATTAGAGTAACTACAATGCCGCGGCGTATCTTGCCATCCCAATCTCCCATCATCCCAATCATATGATCTGCCATGTTTCCTCATTGAACCTTCATATCTACTCCGCTTTCTTCCATATCCTCCGCCACATTGATCTTGTTCATATCGTCCACCAGATTTCCTTTGATGATAATAATCCTTACCATAATCACTACCATCATGTTGGTTATCTATTCTCTCACTTATATGGCCTTCCCGTTTTGCATTAGCATTAGCAAAGACACGTAAACCAAAAGGAGATTTCTTCTCAGGAGGCTTATAGAAAACTCTATCATTCCCAGGAACATAAAATGCCCCACCACCACCACTCTTCTTGGGTTCCATTGTTACCTTCGTCTTGTCCATGAATTCAATCACAAACTCTCTCCTCTCCCCTTGTTTCCAAAAGAAAATCCCAAAACACAAATTCTACAGTAAGGAAATTGTTTTTACCTTATTGCAACCCAAAAAATTGGGAAAGCTTAGGAAACAGAATTTGAGAAAACTTACGCAATTTTCCCACAGACGAAAACGTAAAGAAGCAAAGACAAAGGCAAAGAATTTTTTTACCTTGGTCAAAGACAAAGGCTTTTCTGAACTGAACTTCGAGGTGGACAGCTGTTGCTTCTCTTCGTCTCTTTGATGGGCAGACGCACGCAGACGACTCAAATTGCCGAAGTATAAACTTTTCAAACTTTTCTCTGTTTCTAGGGCTATTTAATACACGTTAAGGAAACAGGGTGGGCACAGGGAAAAGGGAAAAGGAAAACAGGAAAGTTGAACTCGTTAAAGGAAGCTAAAATATTAACTGTTTAATGACATTTTTCTTTTTCTTTTGGGTTATTCGTAGCAATGGTCCCTCAACTATACCCGTAGTTACACTTTGGTCCATCAATTCAATTATTAGTTGCCGGGGTCACTCAACTAGGTGCTTTGTTGCACCAGTAGTCCTTCCGTCAAGTCTGTTACATTTTCTGTCAAAAGTGAGGGTAAATTCGGAAATTCATCCACAAGAATCAAATAATAAATAACCAAAAACCCAAATTCATCCATTAAACCCAAATAATGGTATAGCCGCGCGGCTATACTATTTATGAAAAATGAAAGAGGCCCGCCTAGCGTCTAGCGCCCGCTTCAATTCCTCCATACTCGCATAACTCCTTGCCATCAACCCTCTGCCATTGTTGTACTTCTTCTCCCTTGCGGTCCCCGATTTACTCCCTCTCGAATTCGACAAAACCCCATTTGCTTTTGACCAACACTTCGCCGGCTGGGTCATCTCAAGCATCGACGGAAGCCTTGACGATGGCTTGCGGTTCTCTTTTCTCAACACAACAGAGAAATCAGGCACTGACTGAGCCTAGCCAGAGGACCCTTTAAGCGATTTGGTCGTATTTGTGTGAAATTTGACTTGTTTCTTCAACGAGCTGTGGTTTAAATTCAGGTTCTTAGCCTCTTCTGGCCTCAGATACTTCCTTTGCAACTTTGATTCTCTGAGCTCCGCGTAGGCTTTGTATCTGGGTCCTCTCTCCATGATGTAGTTCTCTGTGATGAGCAGCAGAGGGACTCGACTGGCTCTTGATCTGGTTTTGGGTTCTGGGAGAGAATGAGGGAGATGGGTTCGAGGGCTTGGAAGAGATATTGAAAAGCAGGGTTTGGTTGATGATGGGTTTGTTGCAGAGAGCCGTTAGTGACTGCCATTGTTGATGAATTTGAGGTCACGCCATGTGCAGAGATTTTTTGGGTTTCTTTTGTTCTACACTTATGGGTTTGGATCTGTGCTTGTTGAGATGGAATTTGACGGTGGAGAATTTGTCAGGTGTCGGGAGTGAAACAAACCCCCTTGAACAAACCCCCAAATTGAAAACTGCAGATTGAGCACAACACGAAAACTGCAGACCAGCCCTTGAACGACTGAGCTGGGTCTAAAGGCTTGGAGGCGGCTAAGGTGGGGGAGATTGGAGGTTACGATGGCAGGGTTGGATTTGGTTGGAGAGGTGCCTTGGGATAACGGTGGGACTGGGTGTAACTTGGCCTCATGGGTTTTGGGGGGTTGGAGGCGGTGTGTGTCTGGAGAATTTGAGTTCAAGGAGCTGAAGAAGGCTAACTGAAAAGTCAGATTTGCCCCTCACGAATCTATGAGATTCTCACAGATGCTTGCCACGTCATCATTTTAAACAGAAAAAACTAACAAACTTGACGGAAGGACTGCTGGTGCAACAAAACACCGAGTTGAGTGACCCCGGCAACTAATAATTGAATTGATGGACCAAAGTGTAACTACGGGTATAGTTGAGGGACCATTTCTGCGAATAACCCTTTTCTTTTTGTTCCCAGGACTTGCAAGAAATGTATATAATCTTTGGGCCTTTGGGACAGCACAGCCCAATGTGGTGAACACATAGGCCAGTTCAGAGGGAGAATCAGCTGTACCCTGAGCCCATGTGCCCTTCCTGTTCACTCCATATTATTCTGAGTTTTAGCTTTTAACGCTTCATCTTCTCCACTCTAGTCGGCTGCAATCCTCCAGTTCCCGCCTTCACCTAGACGGAATAAACAAACTCCAAGAACCCTAAAAAGATTTTAAAGCAAGAAGAGGAAGAAGAAACCCACGAATCAGTTCTTGTTGTTCGATTTCTCAAGGTACTGACTTTTGTTTTAATTTATTTCTTTTGGGCTTTTCTATTAAAGATGTCTCCTTTCTATCAATCACTTCTGTTGTAGTGCAATTTCTTATATCAACTACTAAATCATTGCGTCATTGTACTTTATTTTGAATCTGAATTTTGGAATTCTTGAGGGATTCGTCCCTTAACTCATTGAACATTTGAGTTTGTTCTTAGGTTATTATTAAATTCAGATTTTGTTAAGTATCATACTTTGAAGTATTATTGCTGAGACTGAAAATGTACCATGATTATTTAGAGTGTTCAAATACTATGAGTTGCTGCCCATTTTGTTCCATGGTAAAGCTAATTTTGTGTGTTTTGCTTCTTTGGCACACACCAGAGCGACCTAGAGCTGGAACCCATAAAAGATTCCTTGATTTCTGTCCAAACTACCAACCAAGGGAAGCAATGGAGTAATGGACGGGTAAGGTGGGGTTTTAGCATTTGTTCCAATAATCATGCTCATGGATTTTGGTCTTGGTTTTGGTTGTTGGGTTTTTTTTTGGAATCACATGAATCTTTACTCTCTCTCTTCCTGGAAACTACTTTGTTATGATAGGTCCCATACAAGATGTCCTCTAGAATCGCCCAAATCCGCCTTGTATGCTCTCATCCAGAGGTTTATGAACCGTGTGATGATTCATTTGCTCTAGTAGATGCTCTTTTAGCGGATCGAAAGAACCTGTTAGAGCATCAACCAACATTGTGCCTGGAACTGGGTTGTGGTAGTGGCTATGTAATTACTTCTCTAGCTCTTATTGTTGGCCAGGAGGCGCACTATATTGCAACTGATATCAACCCCAATGCAGTGAGGGTGACTCGTGGGACATTAGAAGCACATGGGGTTCATGCAGAGTTGATAACCACTAACATTGCATCAGGACTGGAGAAGCGTCTAGCTGGATTGGTTGATGTTATAGTTGTGAATCCGCCTTATGTGCCGACCCCTGAAGATGAAGTGGGTTGTGAAGGAATTGCCTCTGCTTGGGCCGGAGGGGAGAATGGCCGTAGCGTGATTGATAAGATACTGCCTGTTGCTGACAATCTTTTGTCGGAGAAGGGCTGGTTGTACATAGTCACTCTTACAGAAAACAATCCCTCAGAGATATGCCTTCAAATGAAAGAAAAGGGCTATGCTTCCAGAATCATTGTCCAGAGATTGACAGAAGAAGAAAATCTACAAATCATCAAGTTCTGGCGGGATTTTGATTCTCAACTAGAGGCAAAGGGAATGGTAGCAAATAAAACAGTTTCTTCGAGGGTCATGGAGTCTTTGCTCTCTCAGTTCCATATAATGCCGTTTCTTAGAGGCAGTAACAAATAACAGTAGCTGATGCATAGCCAAGGGGCAAAAAAACTAGTTTTCTAGCGTTTACATGATGGATAAATGGTTTTTGTTCTCATCTTCTTCTGACTTTTGGAAACCATTGTTGGAATGTCAGATGCACACAATTGAATGATTCGGTGCTCTCCTGGGATTTGCTTAAATGAAGTTCATTATTTGCATGGAAACTTGCAGATACTGGATTTATTTTTTTTCTTATTACTCTGCGTGTAATTCTTGGAAACAGTAATCTACATTTCATCATTTAGAATTTGTGTTTCTTCGAGTTTTTTCAATTTCTACGCTCATCCATAATAGCACAAATTTGATCAAAACTGTTAATGAAAGATCTTGTTCTAATACCATTTTATTATATTGGGCATATGAAATAATCATTGTGTTATGCTTTAAGTTTTGCTGATGATTCTTACTACACAAGTTGTCTAGGAATGCCAGGTGCAATTCATCAAAACCAACCTCAATTGCAAGATCAGACCAAAAAAAAACCTCAATTGCAAGAGAATACACGACAAAGGACATTCATCTGGTCTATTCTTTAGCAAGGCGTGTCCTTCCACAAAACATAGCAAATGACTAGAAGTCTGATTATGTATCCAACCTTTACAGAAATAGAGAAGTTGATTGATCTATATCACGTATCTATACAGAAAAATGATCCATGGCTCTTTCATTAAGGAGATTTACAGAGTTAACCAGCACATAATTACATTCAATTTCTCCCGCAATGCACTGAATGAACCGGGTCACCTGACATGCAAGCAAGATCACAAACAAGAGAGCTTTTTAGTCCTTTTTGCGTTAGTCTTGGGAACAGCATCAGAAATCTCTCTGTTTCGTTTGGACGCTGTAACTTTGTTGCCGGCAATGCCTTCAGAACTTTTTCCCTGAACTTTTAGTGCCTCCTTAACAAAAACTTTTAACCTCCATAATGTGCACTCACTCTGTGTAGAGGGATGGAAGAATGAAACGAAGACATATCTGAATTAGCATGACATTGCCAAATTAATTGAATAAACTCAAATAGGATGGCTGATATTGCACTACGACATGCAACTCAAATGATTGCCAGATCACAACATAAACAAATAGAAAACAAATAATGACCTGAGCATCAAGGTCAAGATCCACTTCTTGCGCACTTGCTTGGAAGCTGGGGTTATTCTGAGCGACGATGTCCAGAGCCTTGCTGAGATCGTCAGGAGATAACTGGGTGAGAGCTGTTGTAAGTTTTCTCTTATCATCAGCAGACATTTTCCTAAATCAATCCACAGAAAAAATAGATTCGTCACAGATGCCAAAACAATCAATAAAAATAACACAACAGCTAGACCACGCCCATGCTGCTGCAAGAACAATGCTGGATTCAATAATGCCCATTCATAGTTTAACCAGCCAAGAAATAAAGTCACACATCCCATTTTGCCAATTCCCGTGCATCAATAGATGCAATTCCGTATTCCCTGAGAACCAAGTCACCCAACTACAGTAGTTACCAAAATCTTAGATAACTTTGGTGACACACACACTTGAATAATTTCTCTGAAGTCTGAACTTGCCAACTACAGACTACAGTAGTCAACAAAATCTTACCACAATCAACTACACTAATGTAGAAGAATAACAATTGAAGGAAAAACAAATTAAGCTTCCCATGCCCCACCAATATAGTCCCACATGCTTGCCCCTGGGGCACATCCTTTCACTTGCAGGTTTAACTTTGATTTGAAGTTTATAAAAGTAAATATACACCTGTGCTAAAACAAAAGCACTTAAGTCTAGATGATGAGTAGACATCGGTTTTTAACAAACCTGCACTTCTGAACCACCATTTCTCTGAGGTCCTTCAAATACAGATCAATCTCTACAAGCTGAAAGATTTTGTTTTTTTAAAAAAAACAAAATGTTAAGCATGCATCAGAATTTACTCCTTAAAGATCATCAAACTTTCATTGGCTTTGTGTATGTTGCCTATGAAAATTAGAATAAAGAGAAAACAAAGAAGCTTCTTTAGAAGCTACTATGACAATTTAAAATTTTGACAAACCTCAGTGCTTAGATCCCTAGCCATGCTGGCATAAGCAGCCTCCTGGGCAAGTTGTGTGTGTAGTCGTGCCTCAGCTTCCTCATCTACTCGTCTTGTTTCCTACAATATCTTAATTCAAAAAATTATACTGAAATAATAAAGCATGACAACTGAAAGTACCTCCATTCATAAGGAAATACTACTGAATTCCTTAAAAAATACTGGTAACAAGATCCAGGAAAGCCTACATAAGATAATTTTTCATATTGGGATAGTAATTTACCTCTTCAACAACTTTTGGCAAAAGCCTTAGCCATTTTTCTTCAAACTTTTCCAACAAAGTTTTGGCCATCACATGGACATCATCTTTGTCATCATTATACTTCATTGCATTCTTAAATACCAGCCTCACATCAGCATATATTTCTCTAACATTCTTATAGGCAGTACCATCCTTAGCTTCCATTTTATTTTTTATGGTTCCGAAGTCCATAGGCTTCTCAATAACCTAATGTAAGAAACCCAAAACAAATTAGGCATACCGTGAAAAGGAAATTTTTTTTCTTTGTTGAAATTTAAAGACTTAAAATAAGGAATGAAGGAATCCTACATGATAGGATGTCACCAATACAGAAGTCACTTTGATACAAGTATATGTATATTTACGTTGAAAATGAAGTGTTATACAAATTTTCCGTTTCTAACACTCTAATTAAGGCCATTTTGTGGAAAGTATATTGTATCATACGCAGGTAGTGATGAGTAAATTGTGAAAACAATTAAAAATGCACAAAGAGTCTTTATGATAAGTAAAAAAGAAGAGGGGATAAAATAAAATGTACACATATTGTTGATCATACAGATTAGTGATCTGAGGGAAGAAACTTTACTTGATAATAGTCATGCAATCCCAGACTTTCAACATCTACAGGCTCCTTAAAGGGCCATGCCCATTCGTGCTGAGTGATCTGGAAAGTGCCAAGTAAGGCCAGATTAACTACTTATTAACCCAGATAAACAATTTTTATCACTGTTTTAGCATCAAAGCATCAAACCGAAGATTTAAGGAAATACCATGTGTGAGTTACTGAATGAGAAAAGACCAAAGTCTGCTTAAACATGCAGCTAGATACGGCAGTAATACCAGATATCAGAAAATTCATGATATCAAAAACACAATTTTCTTCCAGCAAGAAAAAGAAAATACATCATTTTATAAGCCTCCTTGCTCTTGCGTTTCTGAAACATAATATTCACCTAAAAGAAACTTTGTAAGAGGGTCTGGACTCTGACAAGTGACAACTGAAGTTCTCTCATTTAGCTTGTAAGTGATATTGGAAATATCACTCAACATGAACATCTGATCACAGAAATTGATCTAGTCCTTTAAACTTGATAACAATGTCTAACTTTTCATAAAAATTATATACACTGCTGCTATTGTTCCTCACTATTGAGTCCAAGTGATTATGTCTTCAACCAAAGAAAAGTTAATATCTACTTAAAACACAATATTATAGATTTGATCATACATATTTGTTTGTGTTCCCAACATTGTACCTCTTTTTTCCCCTTTCCCAATAAACTACTGTAGAACTATGTCAAAAAATCGTATACCACCACATTATCAAGAAAGAAAATAGTGAATAGACATATGAGGAACCCTGATATGTAAGCATAGATCTTCATCAAAATATACCCAAGTACTTGCATCCATTGCTAAGTGACCTATATCATGAGGCATTGCATAGCGTTGGTGCTTGCCTGACGGAATATTGAGGCAAATTGCCGCATGAGCTCTTGCATTCTCTTTGTAGCAGTGACTTCCCTACGTGATGCATCTTGCTGCTGCTTCTTAAGAAGATTTAACTGTTTATCCTTCACAATTGAGCTGCCTTTTGAATTGGTTAGTTGCGGACTACCTGTAGTCAAGTAAAATCGTTCAACCTCGTTCACTCTTTTCTCAAGCTGCAAGAAAAAGACAAATTAGCCAATGTATTCATGAGTTTAAAATTTTGGACAGATGTAACATGCTAATAAGGAAAAACTTGCACAAAACCATAGATGTAAAAACCATAGTAACTGGGCCAAAAGGTGGAAGTGGACAAAGCCAAGCAGCAGTTGTCTGATTTATTGATAATGAATGATGAAAAATCAAACCATTGAAGTGCCAAATCGTATAACACCTACCCGGATCAGATGACGAAACTAAAACTCTTAATCACATAAAGAAGATATTGGGTTCTAATTGGTTGAACGAAGCCTCACCGTATCAACCTTTGCAGAAATTTCATCAACAGAACGCCCAAACCCCTCCGCTTCAGCAGCAACAGCAACTTTTCTAAGATCTGGGTTTGATGAACTCATTGGCTCCATCTGGTAAAAAAAAAGTCAATTTAAACCATTGTGGCACGGATGAATGCAAATCATCCCAAAATTTATCCCCAATCTTTCTAGTTCTCTACATTTCTTTATCAATGAAACCGATTAAGAAGCTGAAATTCATGAGAAAGATTGTGAATTTCGACGCAAATCAATGGGAATACGTGAAAGAACAAAATTAAATATTCGATCTTTATAGTTAAACTCTAAAGCCCTTTTCTCTGCATCAAAGTAGAGAGAGGACACAGAATTGAACCCAAAAAGAAGAACGCTTCTTCTATAACAAATAAATACATATATAGAGTTAAATATTCGATCTTTATAGTTAAACTCTAAAGCCCTTTTCTTTGCATCAAAGTAGAGAGAGGACACAGAATTGAACCCAAAAAGAAGAACGCTTCTTCTATAACAAATAAATACATATATAGAGTTGTTTAGTATATGGATATGGATGAACCTGAAAGAACAGAGACGCATACAGAGTCGGAGAGAGCAGAAGAGCAGAAGATCAGAAGATCAGAGACAGGAAGAAGCAGAAGAACGCAGTGCTCTCATCAGAATGTTCTGTATTGGATCCTATAGAACTGTCCAGTTTTGGATGGTAGACTGTGGACTGTTATTTATACTTATTGGGCTCGTGCTTTTTGTCTCTGTCTTTGTCGTTTTGGAAGGCCCAATATTTTAGTGCATATTTTATGTTGGTACGCTAAAAATTTACAAATAGCCCATTCACTGTTTTTATTTTATACTCAAATATATTAATTTTATCTTTTGTGTTTTTAATTGATCTCTCAAGACAAGAGGATACGCATGTGTATGCACATAGCTTTCTAGAGGGAAAAGGTTTTCGGCAGAGTGATCGCATCTAGCAGTTCACTCATAAGGAAAAAGACTTCGTTGAACTCATATCCATTATATATTGCTGATACGAAAAAGTGGTTTAGTACTTTTGGGCTCAACTTAGTGATATTGGGCCTTCGGTATGCCTTGGGCCTCGTAGTGTGAACGATCTGCAAGATGAGCAAACGCTCGATAAGACCTAGGGCACCGGTGTATACCGGCCGAAGACTCTCCGATGCTTAAGTAAATTCGGATTTAGTAAATTAAACTGACAGATTAATAGGCTTGTATGCCGTTAGTTCTTATTACCTTTATTTTGGGATAGTTGTCCTCCTTTATAAGCCTTGGGAGGTGTGCCTTTTGTTTGAAATTTCGATGTGGGACTGTGGACGTCGATTGTGAGCATGCCACGTGTCCCGAGAGAGGACGTTGCCCTAATGGACAGATCGGTAGGCTAGGTGCCGAAGGCAACCTTAACCATGCTCAATTGCGTCCACGTGTCTTGTTCTTACTGGCTGTTCATTTTGGTATTAACATATATAAGTTGCCTCATGCGACAGCTTTATTTAAAATTTTCTCTTTCAAATGGGAAACTCATTTTGTTCATTTTGAAATCCTCGACTCCATTCTTGAATTTAGAAATCCTCAACTCCAATCTCGAATTTGAAAATCCTTACTTCAAATCTTGAATTTAGAAATCTTGAGTATGATGTTTGGGGTTGTAAATATATGTCTAAGCAAAGCCCTGCTGAACTTATTGAGTGTTTTTTTATTTTATTTATTTATTGGGTATTGCATTCTTTTTGCTGGCTCTCTTTTTACCTATTTTCACTTTGGGTCAAGGTTTGGATCCGTGTATCTTTTGCCTTTGGGCGTTTTTCAATGAACTATTTTCACGACCAAGAAAGAAAATCATTCCAATCAAATTATTCTAAAGGTGTGTGAACAACACTAATTTGTCCCTGAAAACAATAATGCAAACATGGGAAAAATGAACGGGCTCTCCTTTTCAATCAAGAGCCACATTAAAAAACCCACTTGATTTTTCAGAGTGTTTGTGGTCATGCCTGAATTCAAGGGTTTTACTTCTCTGTCTTTTCTTGAATTCAAGTGAAGCAGAGCAGCATCTAGATCTTTGACCATTTTTGCACAGTTTCATTGCATATAAGCTTTAACTTTCAGTGCAAGACATCAATTATATCAAATAATTAAGAAAAATCCACCACTAAATAGTAATTAATACACTCAAACAGCAGATAATTAAGAAGAAGGAGCTGAATTTCCCCACCAGTACTTCTTTATCTGTACTGTTATAAGAGTATTACATAGTAATTCACATACATACATGCATACATACATGCATACATACATACATACATACACTGAAAGACCAGAACACATGAATGAAAGCTTTGGAAAATCACAGGACCAAAAACAAATATTCCAAATAGATTACAAGTATTAAAGAATAACAAATCAAAAATAATTTCCAAACAAACTTTTACACAAAGTCATCATGTTTGATTGTTCTTGATGATTGTTCTTTCTTTCTAAGGCTTTGCTGGTCCTGCAGCAGCAGCTTCCTCCACCTTTGGAGCCTCCGAAGCTGGTTCAGTCTCAGTTGTTGTAGCTTTCTCAATCTCCTCTTCTTTCTTAACCTCCACAACCTCTTCATCTTTCTTGATCTCCACAACCTCTTCCTTCTTCTCTTCTTCAACCACTATCTCCCTTTCTTTTACCGCAGCACTTGTTTCCTCTTCAGTTTTTGTTTCTGTTGCTGGTGGTGGTGGTGGTGGCTCCACTTTCTCCTCTACCACAATGAATGTTGAAACCTTCTCAAACACAAAGAAAACTGGACCTGACACATAGGCTGGCCCATACTTTGATGATGCTTCTGATACTGGTTTGGATCCTGGAAAATCTGTTCATGTAAAATTTAACCCAATTAAGCAAAACACACAAGAATTTTTAAACAAATTACAACCCAGAAAAAGTAAGATGAAGTTAAATATGATTTAACAGTTACATACCAATTTTCTCTAGCTGTTCAAGGAACTTGTGGACTGCAGCTGAGTACTTCTTCAACCCTGCCTCCTTGCGCTCCTTAACCAAAGTCTGTTTAATTAAGGTGAAATTATAATTAGTTGGTTAATCCATTCACTCTTTTGTTGATTGTGGGTAAGTTTTTAATTATCTTACCTTAATCTCAGCAGAGGAACCTTCATATATTTCAACTACTTTTGCTTGAAGTTCATCTTTCTTCTCTTCAAACTGCTTGCTATAATCCTCCTGAAACAGAGACATGTTGAATATAACTTGTTACATGAAAGTACGTATAGTAAATAAAATTTTATTAAAGGAAGATGAGTGAGAGAAATAACAAGCAAACCTTAGACTCATCAAAGGACTTGCAAGCCTCAGCAGCAGCAGCCCTTTTTCCACTGTTTTTGTTCTCGAAGACCTTCTTGATCTTTGGAATCACCTTGGATTGCCAATAACCCATCTCTTTTTTCTCAACTCAAATATCCCTTAAAACGTCTAAAAACAAAACCAAAAGAAAAGAACAATCAACACCAAAAGTTGATGAAAGATATAGTTGCAAAAACAAAACCAAGTACTGAAATTCAAGTCTGCAAGAACAAAAAGAACTTGATGAAGCTATAAGTTAAAGAATAATCTCTCTCTATCTTACCTACTTAATTCTATCACTTCTCTTCTCTCTCTCTCTCTCTCTCTCTCTCTTCTATTTGTTGTTGAATTCTCCAATCAAGCTCTCAAGGTCCACCTCAATGCTTAAGTACTGTAGTAGCCAACTGTCTCTCCAAACTAAGCCACATAAAGCTTTAGAAGCTGGCACATCAAACATATAGAGATACTAATCCCTATGATCCCATCTTAATTACCAAAATACCTACTTATTCATTGATACCAGCCAACCTCCCCCAGGCAAATTTCCTATACTACCCTCCGCCGTCACCGCGCATACACATAAAATACAAGGGCTGTGACAGTACAACAAAATTCACAGGTAGGTTTGGCCAATTATTTCAAGATTTCGTAATAGATTCAAGGCCAGGGTGGTCAGTGGTATTGTTGTAAATAGGTGGGGGACTTGGAGGGTAAAACAGGGAAGAGAAAATGGGGTGTGGGGCCTCTAGGGGAGGTGACAGCTGGCAATCATCTCAATGGACAGGTATCATATTAACGTGGGACCCTTAAAGGGCCTGCCAAGTTTGATATTGATCTGTAAAAATTCAATCGTTACGTATATGCTTTCCTTCTGTCTTCTTCTTCCCTCCTTGTCCTCCTCCTCCTCGGCTTCTTCTTCTTCAATCAGCTTCACAATTGACAAAACTTGTCACGTGGCTTCGCTGGTATTAGCAATCACGTCGTCAATGGCTGTCAGCAAATTTATCTTCAAAGAAAACCAAACCCCATGGCCCCATTGACAATAATGTGGACAAAAACTCATGCCATGTTACTCTTTTGTTTGAATGTGTTATGCAAATACAGTCACAAATTAATTAAACCCATGCAAAATGCATAGATAGCTGGCTCAGCCTAGCTTGCATCCACATGGGATTCTTTTTCTTTCCTTTTGTGTGTGTTTGGGGGAGTGGGGGACAAGGAACTTGTATTAGTTTATTGTGGGGTTGACAGGTTTTATTAGCTGCATAGGATTTGGTTAATCTATGGTATATAAATGGATTTTTTTTTAAGTGCTTTTGGTACAAGACAGTACGCATTTTGAATTGACAATATTCTGATTTTGCTACAAAGAATAAATAGTAGTGGCATGTTTGGTTGAATGGCAGGTGATTAAATTGATAGTAGCGAGTTGAAAGAAACTATCTGAAAAAGCATATTTGGGTCTTGAAAAACAGAGATTTTTATGTATTATATGTAAAAGTTGCATTGATTTGCAACCTGGGTTTGTTTTATAATTCTGCTATTACATAAAAATATCTTTCCAGAGGTGAGGGGATTGATTTTTCTTTGGCAATCTGTCAGCCACCCATTTGCCTCACCCAGCCAGACAAAATTAAATTGAAAGTTTGACTGTTGTAAAATTCTGCAGCATCTTGTTGCTGATATCATCATGCAGTATCTATCTCCCTTTGGATCAAGATTGAAATGGAAAGTCTAGTCAAAATGTGATTTGATAAAAGCTTTATATGAATCCAATCTTGATCATGAGAAGTGATTAGTTGAAAATTATTGTATTAATTAGAGTGATAAAGTGATATGTGGACTAAGTATTGTTGTTTTCAATTCTCTGTCTTGTTCCCTCTCTGGTTCAACTATTGGCTTCAAACATTTGAATTAAATCATGACAAATGGGAAGGAATTGTTCAAACATTTATTCTTTCTAGATATTAGCATTTTGGAAGGGATAAGGAGTGAATTTTAAGCAAAGATGTAATTTAGTAACCAAAACTTAATCTGTTCTTAAACAAATATTTGCATGATGCGCTCGCCACTCTGCACTCGAGTTCAAATTAGTTTAGATTTAGATTATCGCTTGTATAAAAAAACAAATATTTGCAAATAATTGTAAGCTTGATCAAATGCACACCTTGACAGCTAGCATTATATTTGATGCCACAAATCATTTTCTTTAATAACAAGTTCAATCTAATAACCTATTTGGATTGACTATTGAATCTTTAAAAATTCTTAATTAGATTGGAGTTGGAAATTATAAGAATCAAATGATTAACCCAAAAGCAATCCAATTATTGTAAGTATTAAATGTT